ATCAGTTCATTGAAAGTCTGAATATTTTTCACCAAAAGGCCTTGGTTTTAACATTTAAATGTGATGTGCTCGCACACTGTGTGAAGGTAAATGTTGGCTGGGAAATTCAAATGTCTTTGCTGACGCAGAACATATCTCCTGGATCAGCCATTGTAAGCCTGCTATTGTGTATCTGAGAGTGACTGACTAAGTCTGTGGCATATGTGCAGTGCATGCTTGTCTCGGTGTGTGTACATAGTAAATCAATGTGTGCATATGAGTGTGTGTGTTCGCACATTTTGCATGTCAGCAGCTTATATATGTGTATGCGTGTACATATATGAATGCATGCTCTGTCTGATGATGTGTCCCTGCAACTGTACTCTGTGCGTGTGTCTGAGTGTGTGAGTGTGTGTGTGTGTGAGAGAGAGAGAGAGTGTGTGTGTGTGTGTGTGTCCCTCTGTCTGTTTGTGTTTGTGTGTATGCTCACGGTACATATGTGTACGTGTTTGCGGCTGCCACAGTGGCATCATCACCCGCCCCGACGCTTTGATTGTTTTCTCCGCCGCAGCAGAAATGCACCAATTAATATGCAGAGAGTGAGTGAGACAGAGACACACACACATACACACACACACACACACACGCACAACACACAAAACAAAAAAACCCCCCAAAAAAACAGCCGTGAGGGAGGGAGACAAGGAGGGAGGTGTGATGGAGAGAGAAGTGAGGGGGGGGGGGGGCAAGAAGAGATGGCACAGAGAGGGGGAAAGAATAGGAGAGATGAAATGAAAGATGAGGGAAAGTGTGTGTGTGTGTGTGAGAGAGAGAGAGAGAGAGAGAGACACAGAAAGAGGGAGAGAGATGGAGTGAGATAAGGGGCGAGGGTGGAGGGGAAGGGAGGGCGTAGATGGAGGGGATGAAATCTGATAGATGTTTGAGTAAAAACAAGAGAAGGAGAGAAAGAAAAGAGTGAGGGATGAGGCTGAGGTGAGGAGGAGGAGGGGGGATCAATATGTACATATTCAGTGAGATATGGTGGGAAATCAATTGAGAGGAGGGGAGGAGGAATTGATTCGGGAGGAGGAGGAGGAGGGAGAGGTGGAGATGTGGGGGTCACAAGGATGGAGGGAGGGAGGAAGGAGACGACAGAGGAGGAGGAGTGCAGAGGTGGAGTGATATGTGGCTACGGCTGCTGTCCTTTTTGTCGCAGTGTCAGGGTATTGATACTGTAATACACTCCCACCCCCCGACACACACACACACACACACACACTAACACACACACAAACACGCACCATCACCCCCCACCACCCCTCACACCCCCATCACAATGCTGCCGTGACAACGGCTGTCGCGGCGACGCCTACTGGCACAATGCAGCCACAATACTGAGGGCACTGAAGCATCACACACACACACACACACACACACACACACACACACACTCTGAGAGAGACAGAGAGAGCAGAGCAGGCCAGAGAGAAAGAAAAAAAGGAGGGAATGAAAGAAAAAAAAAAGGGGGAGGAGAAATATAAGGAGGGAGAGGTGGAGATTAAGAGGGAGGGAGGAAGATGGATGGATAGAAAGGGATGGAGATGGTGATGGAGATGGAGAGGAAAGAGGGAGGGGAAGGGTAGGGGACATGGATTGATGGAGAGACAGGAGCGAGGGAGGAAGGGAAGGAAGGAAGGAGGGAGGGAGGGAGGGAGGTGGAGGAGAGATATGGTGGGATAATATTACATGTGTAAAACGCTGGAGGGTGTGTGCCCATAGAAACATGTTTAATGGCTTTTATGATTGCGGGGAAGGTTGTGTGAGGTGTGTGTGTGTGTGTGTGTGTTTTTTTTTGTATGACAGAGTGATGTATGCACTGCATGTGTGCAAACAACAAGGTGTTTATGTGAATCCATGTTGGGTAACATACTATATGTGATAATCCATATGTATTTATATTTACACTGCACATACCTGTGTCTAGACAGTGCTTGGTGTATACACATGTAAGCATGAACGCACCTGTATAGGGTTCATGAGATCATTCTGTTGGAATTTTAGGATATATTGTCAATAATCGGTTATGTGTCATGATTTTCTATCTATTTTATGTTGTTATTTTTTCTACTTTACAATAATAATATAACATAGTCTGGGTTTTAGTTTATGTTCTGCCACTTAAAAATCTTTTTCTGGTCAAATGAAGTTGAAAAAAAAGGTAATTGATGAATTTGATATAATGCTGTTACAATGAAATACACACAGATCATGCTATAAACCTGAAAATCGGTGTTCATGGGCTTGTTTAAGAGGTCATTTTGGTGGCAGTTTGTTCCTAAGCGGTTTAAATCTTTGGTGTCAAACTTGTATTCAAAGAAGAAAAAAAAGAAAAAAAGAAACTAAAATAAAAATACACACACTGCCTGCTCTGACCTCCCTTCGCTAAAATGTCTGCGCCGGCATATTACTGTATCTCCCCCCAACATGCACTCTCATTTACAAAAGAAACGCTTGGCTGGCTGCCTATAAGTCAGTTTATCCGCGTGAGATGACCAACGTCCCTCTTTTTCTTTCTCTTTTTTTTTCTCCCCCCCCCCTCACACTATCTCATACAGTGTGTGTGCGTATGATCTATAGTTCCCTGCCTCCCTCCCTCCCTCCATCACCCCCTCCCCTCCCTCCCTCCCTCCCTCACCCTAACCCTTCTTAATATGATGTAAAAAGCTAATCGCATGCAAATGTCTGTTGTCCCGGTAACCGGGCCTGAAAAATCCCTTTGATGTTTCCCCCGACTCATTCTCTTCACGTTCTCTTTGTTCGCCACAGTCTCGCTGCTTTGTCAACATCCCCCCTTTTACCCCGCTCGCTCTCTCTCCTTCATCCATTCTGCAGCTCTCTCGGCCCTCTCTTAGTTCTCTCCATTAGAAAAAAAAAAAAAAAAAGTTCTAACTCTACTTTGTGTCTCCCTCTTTCTATAAGCCCCCCTCTCTATTCTTCTTCTCTTTTTTTCGTGCCTCCTCTCCCCCTCGTGCTCCTGCTCTCCCCTTGACTGTGCCTCTCTGTCTGTCTGCCCCTTCGCCCTCGCTCATTTCCCATCATTCCCACCTACTGTCTCCTGTCCTTCTCCTCTGTCGCTCCCTCGCTCTCTCCCTCAGTTCTGCCCCTTCCTGTTGCCCCCTCCTCCTCCTCCTCTTTGCCCACCCTTTATCTCTCATTCCTCTCTCCATGTCCCTCACATGCACAGATGGACACACACACTCATGCTCTCAAACTGCCCTCCCCTTCTTTAGAGAATTTGATCCCTGGAACTATTTGATATGGCGCTGCACTGTAGTTATCTAATCATTCTGGTTTTTGTGAGGCCTGGTGGAGGCAGCAGCACAGCTGGCTTTCAGAGAAGAGACCCCACTCATTACAGCAAGTTTGAGGTTAGAAGGTTACAGGCCTTGTTTTTTGAGGTTAGACCTGCTACATGGTTCGAGCACAACCTTTAACCTCCCCTCCTTAAATCTCTTCCGAGAGGTTTGGAGCTTCCATCCAGTTTTAATTCAACACAGAACAGTAAAAAAAAAAACAGTCAAAGTACAATTATCAAGTAAGCATAACATGCATTTCCAACATTCCTTCAAAAATTGTAAACATCAGGCAGAGTGTGTCATAGAAAAAGAGCAGAGAGAAAAGTTTCTATACATTAATACTGCCTTGCTATGGCATACAAAAGTGAGGGATTCTGCATATGACAATCTATACTGCAGTAAGAATGAAAGATGGTGTTCATTACATTGCTTCCAATATAACGCAATGTACCAAACAGCTAAAGGCTATGAAGTATACGGGGGTTTTCTCCAAGCCAACAAATTACATATTGATTCAGAAACGGCTCAATAGCCATTTGCAATTTCTGAATTTGGATGCAGATATGAAACGTGCTAAATCTGATAACGGCGACAAATGGCCACTGCTGTCTGCAGAAACAAGCATGACCTCCCACTGCTGCCGACTCTCGCTACCTGATGGTTTCATATTGTACCTTAAGCATGATATTGTTTGATAAACACGCTATACAATCAAACCAGTGAGTGGATGTTGATTGGTTTTACCGGCTCCATCTTCGCTGTCATGAAATATGAACTACATCACTGTATGAAATATGGAAACAGTTTTTACTGCTGCACCATAACAAAAAAATGACATGTTCTAGATATCTTGTGCATTATTTAGTACATATTCAGTGCTGTCATGTATATGGAAATTTTCAGTTTTGAGGATCTGAATAAAACTCAGTGTACAGTGTAACATATTTTTCTATTAATGGATCCATTAGTAAGTTTGGTAGAGTGGTAGAGGTTAAGTTGCTGTTCTACAGAAGTGGAAGTTATTTTTATCTTTTGTTCCATTAGTTTTGAGACACGATATCCGAAAGGAATGCTTCCATGTTTTTAGAAATGTGCTTACTCACTTGTCAAGAGTTAGATAAGGAGACTGATACCACTCTACCCTCTCTCTGGACAACATGAATACACAGGCAAGAGTCAGTTAGCTTAGTTTAACTTAGCGCAACGAGTGGAAGCAGGGGGAAACAGCAAGTTAACTCTGTCTGAAAGTAACACAATCCATCTGCAAAGCTCACTAACAAACACATCTCTCTTTCACTTGGCCTGTTTATCAAATTTTTAGTGTAAAATTGATACGCTTTGGTTTTACCTTTGTTTCCAGTCTTTATGCTAATTTAATCTAACCAGCTGGCTGTAGCTTTACTCCACGGACATTGGATTGACATCATCTAACTCATATTTAAAGCATATTTCCTAAAATTTCAAAGTTGTGAAGGCAGTAACAAATTAACGTTAATCACATTTTTCAGTCCTTTAAATGCATTTTAAGTTTTTTTAAATCGTATTTCAAAGATTTAGCTAACAGCAGATAATGCAAACATTGGCCAATAATCATAGGTTTTTACAGATTAAACGAACAAGATATAGCCTAATGTGTTAATTGGTAAGACTTAGATGCTGGCAGGTGTTTATTTTTTGTTTTTTTTTGTTACCCTTGGACAGAGCCAGGCTAGCTGTTTCCCTCTGCTTCCAGTCTTTGTGCTAAGCTAAGCTAATTTAGCTTCTCCTTTAGCTCTTGCAAAGAAAGTGCAAACTATTCCTTTAAAATTTAGAGTAAAGCAGTTCCCTGACATCACAGCTGCACCATGTCAAACACTCTAATCTTGAAATGGAATAGGAAGTCATCTTTGATTACATTACTTCTTTAAGAACAGTAAATGTAGTTCATGTCTTCTCGCTGCAAGCACAAAACCAGTAAAACCAGAATATAGCACATCGAACAGACCCACCTTTCTCCATTTTATGGAGAGCGCCTTCCAAGTGGGAAAGCTTAGACTAAATGTAACGTCAATACTTCTTTGTACACAAATCAAAATTGCACATACACCCATTTTATACTTTGGAATATAGAGTATGGCATCTTATATTAAAAGGTATAATGTTAAATTCATAATCAGTTCTCATCAGTACACTGAGGAACAGTTTTAAGGCACCATGTTGCTGACATAAGTTACACTTTAGAGACTAAATACAATGTCGCCTTTAGATTCTTACCACTGTTAATAAAAACAATACCATTAGCTTAACAGGGACGTATAGCAGTAAGATATGATACTGTAAGATGTTTCCATTCATCATCAAGGCAATGCTCACTGTATGTGTTGAGATGCAACCTTGCCTGTCGTTGATTTAGCCACTGTGCCAGGCTCTAAAATGGCCACAGTGAGTATGTGTGAGCATGTGAATGTGAACAGTGCTTCACTGTCTCATAACAATAAGAATGACTGCATGTGTTGAGGGACACTGTGTGTGTGTGTCTGTATTTGTGTGTGTGTGTGTTTGTGTGTGTGTGTGTGCATGCTCACACCACCCCTGCCTCATTTACATAGATGCAATCACACCTAGCCTATGCCACGCATTTTTACACAGGCAGGGAGAAAAAAAAGAAAGTCTACAGTAGTCCATTCAGCGTTGTGAAAATGACAAAGTACATAATACATTCTAAATCTGCAATCCTACGGTGGATTTACGCCCTGCATATTACTTCCTGTTTATTATCAGATGCTGGAGCATGTGATGCATACAGTCAGCCAGCCAGGCAGTCAGTGGTTCAGACCAAGTGGTTTGGCCTAGTGGGGAGCTGCAGGGCAGACAATGGCCGCACTGTGTGGCTGAAGTGCCTTTGGTGTCAATGACTCTGCCAGCAACTGAGACTGGCAGATCCAAAATGGCGGAGTGCAGAGAGCCCTGCTGGTGCTTGTCATGCTTTAAACAGGGCAGTTTTGATCCTTTTTGGATGCAGCTTTTCTTCGAGGGGTTCGTATCAGAGCTGTTTAAAACGAGAGAAGGCAGAGCAGAGCTACTCCGGCTAATCTGCTGGCTTTTTATTTGTTTTAAGGGGGTGAAGGGGGCAAGGGGGAAAGGGGGAAGGAGAGCAAGCATGTGGGAGAAGTTCAAATAGAGTCCGAGGGTCTCTCTTTTTTGTCTTCTTTGCCCCCCGAGGTCCAGTTTGGCTCGCCCACAGGTGGAGTAGAGATGCTTAGAAAGTCCAGGGTCCAGTTTCTGATTGTTACAGGAAGAGAAGGAGGACGCAAAAGAGAATAAAATATTAACACTCCCTACAAAGTGAGTTTTATCTTTACACAAATCCTTCTTTCAGAAGAGAAAAAAAAAAGTGAGGAAGGTGTGAAATCAGAAAGTGAGCAATGCAGCGACGCAGTGACATGAGCAGCAGACGTGAAGTGAGCAACAACAGAAAGGAAAAAAGATGAAAGAAACATGGACTAAACAGAGTAACTTACTCTTATTGCGATGACAGCTACACAGCTGTAGAGGGAGACTGACTCTGAGGAGGAAGAAAGAAAGAAACAGTCACATCTTATATTCTGCGCTAAAGTGTGCGTGCATATTAAAAGTGTGCGCGTACGTGTGCACAGCAAGCGGCAATCCTCCCTCTGTTGTTGAATATGTGCATATCGCTGTCTGTGTGTTTGCCCTATCTGTTTTGGCTGCGTGTGTCCGTCTGTCTGTCAATCTGTTCCCAGCGCAGTCTGTTTGCCAATCTGTCATATTCTGTTTGCTAGATAAGGAGATTGAGAGAATGCGTTTGTGCAAATTCATTTAAACTCTACCGTGGAGATGCCAGTCAGGTATTTCTGTTTACTTACAGCTAAGAAGATGCACGCATTCTGGCTTCCTTTTACTAACATGTAGAAAAGCTTTTGCTGTTTGAAGGACACTTTTTATATAAAACACCTCCATGAAACTGTTCCAGCTTCAGCCGCCTGATAACTTCAATCATCTCAGACAGAGGTTACATACATACAGCAGACATTTTCATATAGGCCTTAACGTACAGTTTTTAGCAGACACGTGGGAAGTCTTGTGAAACGAGGAGCCTCAGGAGCTAAATCAGTGATGAAAAGTCTCTTTTGTGAAAATCCTGTTTGCAAATCCACAACAGCTGCAGAACATTTAGGATTAATTTTCTATTTTGCATGGATAACAAAACACTTGAGCAAAAATCTTCTCTTATGTATAATGTATAATACATCAGAAAAGAGACAAAAGGGATTGAGCTGGAAAAAGGATAAAACCCAAATGGGCTTCTTACCTAAAAAAAGATTTGCGCCTGAAAATCAGGCAAATTAGTGCAGATTGGAAAATGACAAATTTATGGCGTCTGGGGTCTAAGACAACGTCTCCAGTTTGGGAACCTCTGTTGCACGTCATCCCTACTTTCTCTGCCCTAATTTCTTGTCTGAACTGTCCACTACGGGGAGATGTGCAGAAGCAAGTACTTTATTATTACTAATGATAATATTGGGTCATTTTTTTGCCCTTATTAAAAAGAAATAGTCGACAGATTAAAGGGAACAAGGGAGATAAGAGTCAAGGATGGTCTGGATTCAAACCAGGGGACATTGCAGTTCATGGTTGACGTCTTAACCTCTAACCAACAGGGACACCCCTGGGACTGTCTGTCTCATTAGCCCACTCTGTCTCATCTTGCTCGTTTTTAGAATAGTTAGGAAGCCAACGACACAGAACTCAGTTTAAACACCAATAACATCACAACCAAGGAATGTACTGCTGTGTGAAAAAATGTAACATTATTATTATAATAGCTGTAGCAGCAGGAGTCTCAGTTGCAGGGCACTTCACTTGCATAGTTCCTGGGCCATCAGAAAGTCAGATCAGGGGTGCTTTGTGAAATGCAGGTAAAGTTCCCACGTTCCTTTTAAAGACCCTTATAAAACAGTCTGTGGTTCCAGTGGGAAAGAAAAGCCCAGCTAACCCTCAGCAACTCATTTCACATTCCTCACATTTCAAATCTATATTTAAGCATGGAGAAGGGTTTGAGTCATTTCTCCAAATACAAACTGTGTTCATTCACTTTTGAAATTGCTAGATTGTGTGATACGGGCTTACACTTTGAACTCACCTGTGAGTAACTTGTTGATCCGGAGCTTCTCCTGGGGTCCCTCCCAGACGCCGGGGATCCCCCCTCCTTCTGGCTGCCGACAGAGGAGGAGTCTGAGCAGCTACTGTGGACTGAGACAGAGACAGAGAGAGGGAAAAAGTGTGTGTGTGTGTGAGAGAGAGAGAGAGAGAGAGAGAGAGAGAGAGAGAGAGAGAGAGAGGAATGGTTGTGGGTTAACACACAGTATATCCAGCAGGTTGTAGACACACTTATAATACAAATTTTGCTCTCTTTTTCCTTCAGGTAGTTCAAATAATAATACCACCTGCGTTCAGACATGATGTGATTGCATGGGTTGTTTTCCATTTACATTAAGCATTGTGTGTGTGTGTGTGTGTGTGTGTGTGTGTGTGTGTGTGTGTGTGTACTTTTATAATGTAAAAATCACCGTGTCAAAATGTTTTCCTGAAATTAAAAATGGAGGCCGAGTGGGTACGGGAGAGACAAAGAGAGAGGAGTCAGAGTGAGAAGGCATTTTTCTCATCCTGTTCAATGAATTTCTAACACCGTGCTCTGTCCCAGAGGACAATTCATGCATTGAAATCCTGAGCTGCTGCACTCAATGAGACACCTGGTGAGCAGTATGTGCATTACACTCAGCTATGCATGGGAAATCACTCTGGCTCTAAGGCATCAGCAGCCTTTGGAGACTGGGTGGTGCTTTAAATTGGGTGTTTTTATTTAAATTGCTCATATTCTAACCCTGTGGACGGATCCCTCTTCTTAAAGGGAAAACTCTGATCTTCTTATATGATTATATACCATCAGCCTGTGAATGTGTGTGTTCCAGGAGTTCCTTTGTGACAAAGATCGTAACTTTTCTTCAACCTGCCTCTGATGGTTCTATTGCATTTGGTAATTTTCTGCCTTTTTCCAGCAGAATAATGTCTGTACTCAGTGTGTTCAACAAGGAACTGTTTGAACCTGTTGCTGATTATACGTGTAGGTGGAGAGAGCGCTAATGTTGCTGATAGCATTAAGTAAAAGCAAGATAATGACAGTCTCTTACTTTTTTTTTTTTTTTAGTTGTTCTTCATGGACTTTCATGTAATTGACTGATTTTTCTCATTTTCATGTTGCTGCCTGACAACATATTCCTGCTTCAACATGATGTCTGTGACCAAACTCTCCTCAGAAAATATCTCAATGTTAGGACATTTAAGTTCAGCTTTTACATTGACATGGTTAATATCTTAACAATTATATTATTAAAGCAGCACTTTCCATTTTCTAAATATTTAATTAAACGTCAATGCGAAATGTGAAAGATTTGATGAAAGGTAGCTTGTAATAACAAACCCACATGAAAGTTACCACCTGACGTTTTAGCTTGTTTCAGCTTATTGTTTTGGTTTTACCCACATCCCAGAATGACACTTAACAGCTGACAAAGTTAGCAACTAGTGAACGCTAATAACGGAACGAAAATAGCCTAATATTTTAGTCATGAATCGATGGAGACCAAAATACAGCTAAAAGCAAACTTATATTCATCGGCCGGACACAAAAATGACTCACAATCAACAAGACTGTCGCTGTGTGTCTGCTGGGTGTGTCAACAGTAGTAGTGGTAAGATGAAGCTTCATGAAGCATTTAAACAGTCCAGCAAAGTGGTTTGAGAAAAGGTTAATTTCTTTGATGCTTCATGTTAACAGAGCGACATCTACTGGCCAGAATGTAAAACGGGCGACTATGATACAACTGCATGTATATTATAAACTATCAGCATAAGTGAAACCATGATTGTGCCTTCATTTCTAAGCATACCTTTATAGTATTTCCTGTAAAAGCAATAAACATATGTCCTTGAAAAAATATATTTCAATAAACCTAAAACATCCATAATATTGTTACACCACCGTGCTTGTACTTTATTGGGAGAAATAAGATCAAAGTGTCTGAGAAGTCTTAGTTTTCCTCGGTGGATCCATTGCAAATGCAACCGGTCAATGTGTGTTCAAAACAAAAACTATAAAAGTAATCATTTCTCTCGGAGGTCTTATAGTCAAATGTCACGGCTGTTATTGTTGTAATTCGAACTGCCACCGAAAGCAGTCAATGTGGTAGGCTACAAAAGTGAGGCGTCACATGTCGTCAGTTACGTTATACGTCTAAAATGATACACGCGTCAAACGGAAAAGCTCAGCTGTACTCGACATTCACTCAGAAGCCTTGACGTCTCACATGCCATCACTAATAAAGAGGCAAGTGTTGTGTTTAAAGTTTGCTCCACTGCCCCCTAGTGGCCAAGTGGAAGTTCAAAGCGATGAAACCTTAATACATGTGAAACAAAAACTTCAGGAATCAGTTTTACATTAGTTACATGTTGCTTGGAACAAAAAATATTAAGTCGTATCATCTTTGCATTAGCTGAAAGTAAATACAGGAGTAAAAAATACAGAAGAAATACAAAGATAAATCTGCCTTAGGTGTTTTAACATCACAGCAGTGTTCTTCACTCATTCAATATAAAAACCCAGACAAAGCCACAGTTAAACGGAGACATGGGACTGAAAGGTTGTGATGGGATTTGATCGTGGTAGATGTGAAATGTGTTTCCATAGTCAGGCTTCTTGACTGCGCTCCATATTCTCTGCAGGCACGTCACAGCTCTTCAGAATTTCTCAGTGTGAGACAAATATCAAAAATTCATAGAGTAGCTCGGGGGCGCAAGATAAAAAAAACAAAAAAAAAAAACATGTACCACATTATTACCTTGTCACATGGGGAGATACACCCAGGACCCGTTTTGTTTCCTGTCCGTAATCTGAGGGCCACATCACTCTCAGCTCAGAGAGCACATTTGAACAATCCAGTAATCCAATCTGGTCACATAAAACCCACCGACTTCCTCTGAACTGAAAGCCGACTCAGAATGTGTGAGGAGAGAAGTGGAGCTCAAACCTGAGTGTCATCTGATCACTCAATTTCTCCCAAACATGACAACTTCATGTTAATGATGCACCTATAGTTAATCAAATGACACAAAGGTGCACTTGTTCTTTAAGAATTTAATCTTTAAAACAGTTTTCTCATTAAAAAAACATTTCCGTTTCAAATATTTGATGCGAATGCTTTTTCTTCCCGTGCAGTTACCCGAAGCACTTATGTGCCTCTGGTACCTGAGGCATCCCACACACACTGTGGAAGTATTATAGATGTGTTACAGCCTTCTCAAGCTTACCTCTGTCATTGAGACTGTAGATGGAGTCCAGCTCTGAGCCTGGAGTCCCTGTCGCGTCCAGCAGCAGCTTACTGGAAATTCCCATGCAGAGTGACTCCTTCAGACACAGCTCTGGGAGAGGGGAGAGGGAGGAGCAGGGAGGAGAAATCATTTAAAAATACAACCTCCATACTGCTTTTTTTTTTTAGGGTATTTGCAAGTTGTGTTCATGTGAGTACTTTTAGTGTTTTAAGGGAAAAAGACAAGGTGTCAGAGGGTGAGGAAAACACCCTGTTTATTGTCCGGGTAGGTGAGAACAGTACCATTTGAGCACCAAGTAACTGCGCCAAAAAATGTCTCAGTCCCCTTTTTTTTTTTATGCCAGCTGCAGTGCATCTTGTCTGGTGTGATACTGTAATCTAAGCCAGCTACAGGAAGCGACACTGAGATGCAAGGTTTCATGAATATGACATGTGATAGCCAGCAGTTCTTTGTGCTTTGGAAATCTGGGCATAAATAAATGAACAAAAATCAAACAGGAGACTGGACCGGTGCAGATATTTTTATCTGTTCTTTACGCATAGGAAAGGTAACTAAGATTAAGTTACACAGAGAGGAATCGGCTTTGTTTAGTGTCCTTGCCAGCCAATTGTGAGTCCATGTGACTTTTATCCAGTTCCCCTTTTCCTTACAACCAAATTTAAAAAAAAAAAAAAAAGCTTCAACAGCTAAACCATCAACTAACAGAACCACTTCCACTGTGTTTGGGGCCACATGACATTGCTGGGATTCAGGTTGAAAGCTGAGAATGTGACCTTTAAACGTCCTGCTTTACAACCAGTGTGTGCAGAAAATGAGGTGACAAAAAAATGGACACTTTGAAAAAAGTATTTTTAACTTCCTTAAATGTCCCTTATTTTACACTTTTCTGGTGTTTTAAGTGTTGATCCATAAGAAGATATATTTGTGGTTTTTAGAAAACAAAAACCATGTAGTTTTACATCCCCTCTCTCAGGCTTCTCTCTGGAGCTCTAGTAAAATCAGATCGGTGAGCCAATCAGAAGAGAGAAGGCTCTGAGCTTCTCTTCTGATTGGCTCACCGTTTTCTTGGTGATTGAATAAAAACATAGCAGATTTCGGGTAAAACACTCAGAGAAACCAAATCCTGCAAGGTTTGATGGTCAGTACAGGTGGGTGGGCATGGCTGTGGGCTGTGACTGTATAGTTGTGACATCACAAAGTTACAGACGTCCTGATGGCTTGTTTTAGGGCTCAGTTTCTGAATACAGGTTGTGTGCATTTCTCTGTGGACTGAGCACTTTGATACTTTCACAGTATTAATATAGAACCTAGAGCTGCTTTGTAATCAAACAACACATGGACATCTACCTTTATACTATATAGGACCTTTAAAGAGTAGGCCATTCATGTAACACTGTCAATTCATGACGGACAGAAAGATTAAAATCAATGCAGACGATCCAGGGAAATACTTCTTTCTTGTCAAAACTTGGTGCCTACATTACCCATAATGCAACTCAAACAGTTCAGCAGGAGAGTTCGGTGGTATATAAGTGGCTGCTAATGGCACCCTGAGCCATTGGCCTCAAGCGGGGACCAGTGAGAACGTTTGGACAGCTGTAGCTCAGGAGGTAGAACGGGTCGTCCACCAATCAGAAGATCAGTGGTTTGATTCCCGGCTCCTCCAGTCTACATGTGGAAGTGTCCTTGGGCAGGATGTTGAACCGCAAACTGCCCCTGATGTATTGTGAGTGTGTGTGATAGAAAAGTGCTTAATGTATAGAAAAAAGCTCCGTGTGAATGTGGCTTCTAGTGTAAAGCACTCTGAGTGACAAAGTGCAGTCCATTTACGTCACTTATTTATCAGGCTTTCAAAAGCTTCTTTCACATATGCAGCAGTACTCTCCTAATCTGTGCACTTTCCCTTCATATTCTGTACACTTGTAAAATTGTGAAACACCACTCGTCTGGAGAGAGTGTAGTTGAGTTGAGGCCTCTGGAGTCGAAGGTCGTACGGTACCTGTGTTGTTGATGGCATGTGTCCACAGCAGATGAGCAATGTCATGAGTCCAGGCCTGCTTGCCCTCCCTGTCCTGCGCTTGCAGCGTGATGCAGTCTTTGGTTCGCGGAGCCTGACGGACCCAAAGTTCAAACTTGAGTCCGTCCTCGCCGACGCTCTGAGTCAGACCCATCTCACCCGTCTGCAGGGAGAAAACACGGAGGTGTTAAAGTCAACAAATGAACTGAAACAGAGAAGAAGGAATGGAAGGAAATCTAACTGGAATGCAGAGCGTGCTGCAGAAAAGTCAATTTGAAAGTGAAATAAAGTGATGGGATGAAACACAGAGAGCGTCCCAGTCATCAGTGTTCTCATTGCAAATGACAGCCAATAACCTCAGACTCACTTTGTCTACGTTTGTTTTCAGTTTAATCAAAGCAGAAAGTGAAAACCCTTCAAACAGAGAGAGAGAGAGAGAGAGAGAGAGAGAGAGAATGAAAATTGGAGAAGATTGTGTGTTGGTGTGTGAGGGCTGTGCACCTTGATGCTGTGTTTGTAGCTGTAGGCGATGCGTCCTGAGCCGGTGCTCTTCTGTTTGGTGAAGATGACGACGTGCTGGTAGAGGAACACGTTCCTCACACCTGCCCGCTTCCTCCGGGCTCCCCCGCACACCGTCAGCTCACCCTGCCGCACCAGCTCGCCGCGCTCCGCCACGGGGATCTAACATCACACATTATACGCACACACACACATTAGGATGCACTTATCGTGGCCTTAGGCCCAGGCTCTAGGCCTTCATCTGCATTTCTATCTCAATTTCTATCTTAAGAGGCCATTTATCCTTGAACTGAGTTAAAACCATGTTTGTTTGTTTTTTGGAAGTAGTTTTGCTCTGTAACAACTGTTACACATTTGACGGTCCTCCACACGGTTGCTGACACTTTTATTAACCGACACGAGCTGTAATGTTTTTTTTTTTTTGTTTGTTTTGGAGCAAAAATCTCAAACCCTCCCTCCTTCACCTACTCAAATTTTGAGTCTGGAGTTGCGAGACATTTTCAGTTACAAAGACTGAAAAGCTTTATTCTCAGTTCAATAAAAGATAGGACAAAGGAGTATTATTATGACAGTGCCTTGCGTGGTGACATATTCCCTCTTCACAAGGATGCTTCTTTCTGCTGGATCTTTGCTCTAATTGGCCGGCTGACTCATGCCTTTTGTAAAAATGTGACTTTATTGTTCACGTCAATTACAGGGCGAAGACTTTGCTGCGCTGTTTGCGACTCCTACCAGAGGCAGAGAGAGGTTGATAAAAGTCAAAGGTTATGTAACGCTCCTTAAGGACGCAATGCTAGACGTACAAACAAACAGCAAACAGGTCGGCAAACATTTGCTCCAGAGTAACCGCTCCGGCAATGAAATTAAAAGGGCCGATAATTTACCGGCAAGTGGTGACACGGAACTTTATTTTTAAACCTCTAGAGATGTGTGGGTCATGATATAAGTGATGCTTCACGCATATTATGAACACCCACACCCACACCCACCCATACACACACACAAACACACACACACACACAAACACACACACACGCATACACACCTGCACTTATAGGCATTTTACTTGGAGAGCTGTTGCAGCGTGATTTGAAGTAGCTCAATAGTGTTTGTGCTGCCGTAATCTCTCCCCTCGCTCGAAAGGGGGAGGAGAGGAAAGTTGTGTGGCTGTGTGTGTGTGTGTGTGTGTGTGTGTGCGCATGTGTGTGTGGGAGTTGAACATTTGTCTCTCACGACCAGCTCTGAATGATACTGCTGTGTCAGAGGAGCACAATATGGGGCAAGTAGATACTGTGTTCCCTGACATTGTTTGATAAAGGTTAAAGCTGTTTTTTTTCAAATCCACATTTAACTGGTACGAAAGTGTTTCTTCGTAGTGGTCTGTCTGAGGAAACGCCTTCTTTCCTCCCACTTCTTCCTCCCTTTGTACGCTACTCTCCTCTATCTGTGATGTGAGCGTGATAAAAGAACACTTCACTGTCTTCACTTCAAGTCTTCATTGACAAAGACACAGGATTCTACAGAGCACAACTGTTTACACCTGCAGTATTTTCACCTGGATTTTGTGTGTGAACACACCCCCGAAGTTGTTGTTTCCTAATGCAAGACAATGAACACTGTGTTGTAATGGTCAATCCTCATAACATCTTCCAGTAGTTGGAAAATTTTGAGAAAATGCAAATGAGGTTGTGAATATGCGCTTCCACATAATTCCTTTAAGTACATTTAAAATGTGGTTAACCTAAAGAGTATTTGTACTTTTTTATATTCAAAATAAATACCGTTACATCCCCTTCTTGAAAAAAGTAAAACCTGTAAATAATGAGCCGTAGATAAAAGGTGCAACAGTGATAACGATTTCATGTCTTCCACCGGCCTGACCTCATCGAGATGACTTAGTTTCCCTCTAAGAAAAGAAAGTGGGACTTGATTCACAGTTGCAGAGTCATAAACTGGGACAGGCATTCTCACCGGACATCCGGCGATGAGGTCACTGGCCCTGAGGTCCTCGCCGTGCCGCTGGGCGTGTCTCAGGGTGGAGAGGGCGGAGTCGGAGGCGGGGTTTAACCCTCCCAGCTCCTCCACGGCCTCGCAGTACTGCTCCAGTCGCTGAGTGGGAGCCTGGAGACAGTGAGGGAAGGACAGAGGGGAGAGGGGGGAGGCTGCGGGGAGTTTGGACTGCAGGAAGAGGGGAGATGTGAGAGAAGGAAGAGGAGATCTGTTAGACCTGATCTCCGTTTACTGACGTCTCCATATCACATCACACAAAATAATAGAAACACCTGTCAGTATAATGCGATACAATTCCACAGCAGCACAAACTGCAGCCTCCAAAGTGACCAGACAGTTGTAACCTAATAAACCGCCAACTATCCCTCGAATTATCCCACAATGCAACATAAGAAAGTAGTGTACAATCTATCAGTGTACAGTCACTGGTCAAGATTTATTAACCATCATGCATTGCACAGATGGACAAAAAAAGCCATCAGACCCACAATGTAGGTGTGGTGACAAGTGAAAATAAACAAAAATAAATCAGAGAAATTATTATTATTGATTTTTACTTTCATACACTATATATAAGTTTAATGTGTATTATTCTATGACAGAGATTAGAAATGACATTACTTACACAAAATAACAATTATCTTGATATTTAACAACACAGATAACAATCAAACTTACATTATATGGTTTATATTGATGTAAACTATCTAAAATACAGTATGACATCAGAGACCGACCTGTGACTTCTTTATATAAGTGTGTTTAAAAAGTACATTCATAAGTGATGAATAATGAGCTGCTGGTGAAAATGTACAATTACTAAATAGATTTTTTTATGTTAAGCTAATTGTGATAGATAGATACTTGTACAACTATTGATTGATAATTATTCTGTAGCGTTTAGCTCAAATGTTCTTCCTCTGGGTTTCCTCTAATCACAGAAACCATGTGAAAGTAGCCACGTGCGCTGTTCCTGTGCTCATCGTCACGACGATCATCATCACCTCAGCCGAGTGTGATCGCCATCATCATTTAGCCTGAGCACCACCTTTGCATCCGTCACCATCGTGATAACCATAAACCCACCCTGCAGCCATAATCCACAGCGAGCTCAAGCTGTTTCGAAGCCGCTGCTGCACCGTGAGCCCACACCGCCTCCTGGTGGTGATATGTTAGAAATGCTCCTTTTTGAGCCTCACTAATCTTAAGCACTGTGATATCTCCTCGTAAAGTCCTCTCAGTGATCTCATGATGGTGTCGATATATTAGTTTTAGTTAATTGTAGCTTACAAGCTCAAATTACTCTCTCCATAATCCGCCTTTAATTGGCTCTTCTAGTATATATTAAACATGTAATTAGCTTTACTGTATACAGCTCATTTTTAATTGCTGCCACTGTTGAGTAAAGCAACTTTAATTGGTTTGTGCTTGTGATGTGGTTTTTTTTTTTTTTTACTCATGATCTCACACTGTCGTTTAACAGATTTTCTGAAAAAGACAATAACCAAATCAAAATTTTATGACCCTGACGAGCTTAATATTATGTGTGTAGAATCAGGAATGTGCGACCATCAGTGGGAAAAATGGGCACTTTTCTCTAATTGAAATGATGTTTTCTGACACTTAAAAAATAACTGGTTAAACTCCTCATATTGAAACTCTTCTCCTGAAACGTCTGTGCACACAAGAAGCCGATGTCTTGGAGATTCAGGGGCTTAAAGTTCCCCTGCAGACATGTTTTAAACAGGAAAAAAAATACTCTGCTATGATTAATATTTTGTTTAATGTGGTTTTCCCACATAAATCTACGTTTAACTCCTCACTGAGAGATTCCCAATCCCCCCAGCACCGCTGCTTGTGCTAAGTCGAGCGGTGAAAGAGCAGTGCGCATCAAGATGGTTAGCGGAGGAAACATCAGAGAGACTCAGTCACATGTTTTAAGCCTCAGTCAGACCCAGACTCAGATGAGGTTGTTGGAAGTTGTTAGCTTGTATCTGGCAGTGGCTGATACAGAGTTAGTGGTTGTGCTAATGCAAACTTTCGCTCTCTGTACTGACAAGGTTTCAGGTTTATTTTGCCCGACCCCTCGTAACCACAAGTTGACGGGATTGGTTCCTTAGGTTTATGGCTGTCTGAATCCGTTTATATGAGACCGTCGCTGGTTCACTGCAGTTACAAGGTGGAAATACTCAGTCATGGCATTGACTGCCTATTTCGCTCATGATATGTCTTGTATTATAATTAGACAGCAGAGACATGAGGAATCTTACCTTAAAGAAGTCGGCAGCCTGCGTGACCAGTGGAGAGTCCAGTTCTGGTTTAGCCCTGATGTAGTGGGAATACTGCAGGAACTGCTCCCGCTGTGGTGAAAAAAGAAATATAAACATAGTGGTTATGGTTTTGTATAAAAAAATAAAAAAAATCTATATATATTTTAATTCCCTTGTATTTTCTCCTTCTTATTTCCCTGTTCTGTTAAAAGAAAATAAGAACCTGTACCACGCAAGCGATCCAACTAGTACCAAGTCCTCTGACACACAGGAAGTGATTATTTTTTCCTCTAACAAAAGATATATTTAGATATGTGAATCTTTTTATTGTTCACAAGTAAATGCAAAACTTTCATCTTTGATTACTCGCCTCACGCTCCCAGAAAATCTAATTTCAAACATCTCTTCATAAAAGAACAATAAGGTCCTTAACAAAGTTAATACTGTGTTACTGGAAATGGCCTTTCAAAGTAAAACTACATTTTTCAACGACGTGAGTCTTATTTTTGCATTTTTGGTCCTCCTTGCTAAATAGTCGTACATTCAGATGTTAAAAAGGCTCTGTGCTGTACATCAGCGGTTTCCAACCTGGGGGTCAGGACCACCAAAGGGACCTGAGGATAAATCTGAAGGGCGACGTGATTCTGAATGCTATAGGGAATAAGAAAAAAATATTTTTCTTTATCCTTTCTTTCATTTCTTGTTAAATATATGATAATTTTATGTCCTCAGGCCAATACATTTCTTCACATGAATAATCAGAGAAGGGGAAATCAATCTTTGCTGTACCTGCTCACATCACATAAACTTGTGATGAGGGGCCTCTGCGGCTAAAATCATTTCTACATGTATTTAAAAACAATGTATTTTCCTTTGCATTTCACCCTGCATTCCTGGACTTACATACTTACATATTTGCTGAAGCAGTCCTGTTGCAACAAGCTCTGCACAAGAGCACCCTCCATGGCAGGGAGAAGGTTCTGCGAGTGAAAGGAGCTGAGGCTGGCCCAGTTGGGGAAGAGGGTGTCGGCCTTCCCCCTGATGGAGGCTGGGGTGTCTGAGAGCTCCAGCAAAGGGAGGTATGTCTCTTCTACCCCTTTAAGCACAGCCACATACTGCCGCTCTGAACTCAGCATCCTGCACCACAGCAGGTAGAGCTTACTGAGAAACGAGGAGATGACGAGGAGAGGGAAAAAAAATGGAATGAGTATATTTGCAAAAGAGAAACAAATGTGGGAGTAAGAGGAGAAGTGGGGGGGGGGGGGGGGGGGGGGTGGGAGTGAAGACAGCAGTAAGCAATGGACAGAGATCAAACAGTTCGTAATGATAAAATTATCTAAGATTGCATGCTGACTGATAAAATCGTTCTCAAACCGACTTCAGTTGTGCTTAAATTATCCATAAAAGGATGAATCACTTCTCCCTTTCGTCTCAGCCTGGCCTTCTCCTAATGCAATTGATAATGTTGGTCTTGTTTTTATAGATCTAAGCCAACTCAGACTTTCTCCTGCTCACTTTCTCACACACAAGCTCCCGACAGAAGAATACGCACAAAGGTGGCGTTTTAACGAAAAAAATGTTTAAACGAAAGAGAAAAGAGGAAAAAAATGATGCAAAAACAAACCTCTGGGCAGTTGAACCGGCTCTGTCCGTGCCCGTCTCCCTCTCGGTCCTCCCCAGCAGCACGTGTTGCCGTGGCGACCCTGTGTGGTCCACCACCTCCTTGCTGCTGACCTCCACTCCTCGAATCAACACCCCTCCTCCACTTCCTCCTCCTCCCCCTCCTCCTCCTCCTCCACTGCCACCTCCCGCAGGAGCACTGCCCCATCCAGGGATAGCTGCAGCCATGCTAGTAGCGATAACCGGGTCAGCTACCGCCCGCCTCCCCAGCCAGGACATGGGGGAGTGACGGCTCACCCCGCCCACCGGAGACTCGGCAGGTTTGGGGGTAGCCGTGCCTCTGCGGGGGGCCAGGAGAGCCTGGAGGTCGAAGCTTGGGTGGCGCTTTCTGGGGGGCTTGGGAGGGAGCGGGGCCTCTGTGGGCTGAAAGGAGACGGATGTTAACATGAGATTAGCGACATTAGCAGAATAAGGTTTAACCAATATTGTATTTTCTGTGTTATTTTATATCATATTTAACATAGATGTATCTTATGAAAGTCAATAGAGAAACTTCATGGAAAAAGGATCCAGACATGAATGTTCATCTTAACATTGTTGCAAAAATCATTCAAAATCCAATATTACCATGAAGTATTTCTGCTCATTAAATGTAACACTGCCCTCAAAGATGCCCGTATTTCATTCAACTCAACATGCAGACACTTATTATAAAACACGAACACATCATGAGAAACATTTTGCCTCTTTCTGTAATTGTTATGCGGTGATGCAAGTGAAATCGAGGACGTTGACAGCAAATTGAAAAAGCAAGTTTGAGATGTCGACCAGATGCACAAGACTGTCTTTGTTATGTTTTGTTTTGTTTTCAAGTTATGAGACAGCGGTTTAAAAACTCTGCTAACTTCCTGAGAGAATTGCTTTAGTAGTCCCATGGTGGTTTTAAATCTAGATGCTAAATTTGAACAAAGACAAAAACAGTTCTGAAGGTTTTGGATTCGATTAATCAATTTCAGAGACAGTGGATAACAATATAAAACTACAGTCTAAGAATATTGGTGTATGGATGAAACCATGTTAGACATACTGTCAATTAAAAAAAGTCAGTGTAATATTTAGCATCAGATATCTTTGCCTGGTTATTAAAACAAACAGGAATTACTAAAGAATAGAAAAGAGCAAAATATATCACAGCAATAAAAACAGAATTGAAACTAAACCAACTCACGCTCTTCTTTGCAGGATTCAGAAGGTTCTGCAGGAACTTCCCTCCTCCAGCTCCTCCTGTTCCTCCTCCACTTCCTCCCCCTGCTCCATCTTTCTTATTCCCTTTCTCCTCTCCTATCTTCAGTGTGGAGCAGGTCTGCGGCCTGAACAGCGATGCCAGGGATCCCCAGGACTGCAGCCCCCCCTCACCTCCTCCGGCTCCCAGCCCCCAGTCGCCCTCTCCCTCAGGACCCATCAGGTCCCACAGGCTGCTTGCCGAGGGCATCTTGGGCTTCCCCTGGCCCTGATTCTGGCTCCTGTCAGACTGGAGGAACCGGGGTTTGACCTGCGCTACAGTCCTCTGGTAGCGCTCTACTGTGTGGGTCCAGAGGTCCAGGAGCGCCCCGCCACCAAGCTCTATAGCTAATGACCGAGCGTCCTGGAAACGTGACGGGGGGATGGGAGGGAGGGAGGCCAGAGGACAGGTGGAAGAAGAGGAAGACGGGGAGGAGGAGGTGGAGGAAACTGCATCACACCACTGGGTGGCCTGCACATGAGACAGAAAGGAAAGGTGAATCTTATTTGCCCTTAGGAAGATTTGAAACCATTAATGTGTGTTCATGACTTCCTGTGTGTTTAACAGTCTTCCTGTGGCTGAGCTACCTCAGTCAGTGTGGACAGCAGCCTCTGTGTGTTGTCCAGCGTGGTCCAGCAGTCAGACAGACAGTGGGACATGTCTCTCAGCTTCTCCCTCACTAGAGGAAGGCGGATCTGCACTTGGCTCAGGCCTGCCCAGTCCAGCTCGCACCAGCCCTCCAAGTCATTGAGCACTGACAGAGTCTCACTGTGCAGCTCCTAAAGGATTCAGGAAGATCCACTGTGACGTCTGTGCCCCGGAAAAAACCCTCAAGTGTTTACTGTGGAGGCTTGACAAGATAAACTCTGGGAAGTCATGACTGGAATAATGGTAACTGTCTCTTTTGCATTTGCCTGCATCCACAAGAATGACACAAATATACTGTACCACTGTGGGCTCAAAACACATCTGTTTACATTTTAAACTTTTAGTTATTGACTCCTCAAGTCTTTCAGTAAGTAACATGTGTGGCTCTAGGGTTCTGCATGGCTAATAGGATTCAAAATCTTTGAGTGGTTTTTAACAAGAACCATTTCCCACAGGCCCGAGACTTTTGTGGGTCGAACATACCCAGCTTGACAGCAGCTGTGGCTAACAATAGAGGTCGAAACACGATTACTGTTTGTTTAGACTGTTTGTTTAGATCACTGTTAGAAAGTTAGTGTGCATCACAGAGCGCTGGTGGAGGAAACAGAAGGAAACTCATCTAAAGAAATTAAATGAGACACTGCACTGAACAGCGGCTAGTGCAGCAACTAGGAGCACAGCAGCTAATTCAGCAGCTAGCGCAGCAGCTACTACAGCGGCTAGCACAGCAGTTGACATCAGGACTTTGGCTCTCTGTTAAGGATAGTTAAGGATGCAAAAAAAGTAGATGAACTGTTACCAAAACCATTTTTAAATTCTTTATATGTAACATTGCTAAACAGCAGCCACATTAGCCACAAGTGTTAATTACAGATTAATGGAAAATGCTACAAAGTATAGCGAAGTGTCAGCAAAGTGACACAGTAGTATCCGATATACACCAATATCCATCTCTAATTTAGTCATACCCAACATGCTAACATGCTAACATTAGCCACCACAATGCCAGACCAAGCAAGGCTGTAAGCAGCAAAGCGAAACAGTGTATACGAATTCAACAATTTATTTGTAAGAGAAATAAGTTTCATTTCTTTCATTTTAATTGTTGCATATTAACATATTTAGCCTCTATGTTGAGGAGGTTTATGTGATTATAAAATTGTTAAAAATTATTCTGATGGCATCAGTTTCTGTTTGTAGAGATAATCCTGGTGAGTGTCTCCATATCATTCTTGATACTACCACCACATGGCGCCAGAGTAGGGAGTTAACATGAAAATAATTATTATACAGATATTTTGATTATACTGTTTGTTTTTTTGTGTGTACAAATATACAACATGCAAACATGTGCGTTCCATGGGTTTTAACAAATACTGTACCAAAAAAATGAGGAGTCACAAGTATCAGCCACTCACATTTGCTGTTTCCCTGAAGGTCTTGAACTTCTGCTGCTTGAGGGAGAGTCTGCTGAGGGAGAGAGGAGGGTCCTTGTAATCGTCCAGCTGTGACTGGACTTGCTCAATCTCCTGATCACACTGTGAAATAAAGTCACAGAGGGAGAGAGAGAGAGAGAGAGGGTGAGAGGAGGACACAACACATTTTACTGTACATGGGGGACAGAGAGATGAGATGAGGGACGTGAAGTTTGGCAAAAGAAATAGGGGTAATATCCCAGAGTTTGGCGAGGTACGAGTGAGCAACAATCATCTTCTTGCTCCCTCACACACCTTTTCCAGTTTGTCCACCAGCCGCGCCAGTCGTCCCAGAGCTTCCAGGTCGCGACCTCTCTGGTTGGACTCTCGGACGAGCCTATGGAGGGCGTCATCCACGCTGTCGTAGAGTTTCGAGGTCGCAGCGAGGGCCGCCCTGAGAGGACAGAAGACAAATGTTACCAGCAAATCACTGAGGAAGAAGAGAGAAACGTTTCTTTTTTAAAAATTTTTATTTAAATTGTAAGATGTCAGCCAAAAAACACTGGTAGAAAAGATGTAATTATGGAAAACAAAAAAGGCTGCAGACCAACTGTCAGGCAACAAAAAAAAAAAAACAAGGAATCAAATCAGCAATAAGACTATGCTTGTACAGACCGAGCCAAAACTCATTACTGGATAGGAACAGCTACAAATACAACAGTCTTTAGATCATCTTTAAGCTGCAGTCAGGCGCAAACAAACAAGCTCCATCGCTCTGTCCTCTGTTTGATGTTCAGCTTTTTTCTTCCTTTTTTTTTGGCTAAAAGCAAACAACTTTGTTTTCATGATGAGGAATATTTTTAACCTATAGCTCATCTTGACAAAATAATCCTTCAATCAAACACAAAGACTTGTGAGGAGAAAGGACCTGCACATCCCTCCTCTGCCCCTAGAGACCGAGCTGCTTGTGTAAGGTGGTTTCTGCATGTCTGCCTAATTACTGTTGTTCTGTACATCATGGCGTCTTCATATCTAAAATAGTCCAACTTCAATAGGCCTGTGTGTAATGTACATCCAAGCTGTATTCAATCTCATTAGCATCATAACATATAAAAAGCCTATTATTATCCAGGTATATGCAAAAGCACGTTGCTGCTAGAAATAATGATTTTGTAGACTTCTGAATATTATTATACAACTTCTTTCACTAGTTTTCATAATATTGATCAATTCCTTATTTGAAGATGCATTCACTGACTGTGGTAATTTCCAGTGACATTCTTCTGATTGAAGTTGGTGGCGATAATATTCCGTGTAGGGTATAAACATTTATTTTCTGGTACCTGCAGTCTGGCGACTTCTGCGCTAGTCCAGATGCACTATTGGTCAATCCTGCGAGCCAGGCCCCGCCCCTCTGCTGCAGTTCAGTTAAGCGTTGGTCGGCCAGGACGCTCACCATGAGCTGCCTGTGTTTGTCGATGCACAGAGGAACCGCCTGAAGAAGACCAACATGCTTATTATGTTTCTGTAGAGGTTTAATTACCAAACCACATGCAGCGAAGTTTGTACTTTGCTTCCATCAGACAGGCACATTACATTTTGTCTCATCAAATCAGTGTTAAAAAAAAAAAAAGAAAAGCAGAAACAACCTTGATGTTGTCTGGCATTGGCTCAGTGTCCATAGACTGCAGTGCCTCTCCCAGCAGTGAGAGGGCGCTCTCACAACGCTCTGTCAGACTCTCCAGGCTCTGAAGGGGGAGAAAAAAGTAGAAGTGGAATCAGTGATTCGAGATTAGCATTCTAGTTATTCAATCAAAGCAGACATAGAGAGGTCATAGAAAGTACAGGGGACAGGAAAACAGTTTAATCTGTTTGGGTAAAGCAACATAAACTGTCTGGGAAAAACCCATTAAGAGTCTTTAAATTTCTTTTCTTTTTTTTTTTCCTTCCTTCCTTGATTTATCCTGCAGCCCCAGTTCATCATCAATCTCTGAAATCACCGACCCCCACCACACAAGTGCTCTTTTCTCTCCAAACTTTGCTTTCTCCCACTCTACACCCTCCCTTTCAGGGGGTAATATTTTAAGTTTGACGTACACAAAAGAAATACTCAGAACCTACTTAATCGTAAACATCGGGACTTTGTCTACATTAACGCAGAGTGTTATCCTTTTTCACATATTTATCTTTAACTAGCAAAACCAAAATATGATCATCATCGTGAGAGAAATGTGAAATTTCCTCCTGTTGCTTAGATTTTCTCAGTTGGCACTCGAACAACAAGAACTAAAACAGAGAAATCAAACAGATGGCAGATTTTCACACACAACTTGACACTGGTCTAAATTCTCCAGCTCTGATATTTTATATTTAAAGCTACTCTTGAAATCTTCGTGTTCATGCAAGACTCGGGCTGCAGCAACTATTCTCTGAGAGAATGGCTCTGGATGTGATTCATACAAAAAAAAACCAAAAAAAACAATCTGATTAATTTAGCAAAAGCACAGATATCAGCCGATCTTAAATGCCTCAAGTGATGGTTTCCTCCTGCTCAGTTTCCCAGAGACTTTAACACACACTCGGGTCAGTAAACCTGGCTGCCTCAGCTGAGAGGATCTGCCATGAAAAATAGAAAAATAACTACTGTATGGAGGTTGTAGAATTTTAGGGTGGGGTGGGGTCTACTTCTTTTATTTAAACAGCAGATTCTCACTAGTCTGAAGGCCAGCCAGTCTGAGTGACAGTGGGTGAACTCTCCGTCCATCTGTGTGAGCAGCTGCTGCTTGTCCACAAACTGCTGAAGGACCCCCGTTCCTCGCACCATGTGGATCTGGACAGAGGAGTACAGGATAAGAAAAATTACAGACAAGGAAATAACACAGTAAGAAAAAATAATGAGAGATAATAGAAAATGAGGCAAGAAAGAAAACATAAGATATGAGGAGATTGTGCTGTAGCCTTGAGAATATAAACTCTTATCTGCTTTGGTGTGAGCCAATGTCTATATTAATCATAGACTTAATATAGCTGATAATAATTTGTACTCATGGCTACAGATAGACACTTCCTCCTTTATACTGAGAGTCTTACATAATTGTTTTTCAGCTTTCTTTCACAGAAAGGGCTGAGAAAGCAAAAGTATGTACAAAACAGCCAAACAACAAACTAGATGAAGGAATTTTTTTTTGGTGTCAACATCTTTTGGGTGGGATTTCCTTTTGACATGCGAGGTTTTAACGCTGCCAGGTTAAAATACAAACCACATGGCAGGACGAGTTTTCTCATGCAAGTGTGTGTGAGATGGATCTCCGCTGCTCAATGCAAAGAAAATGAGCTGAATTGCTGGTAAAAATGGTATTATTTGCCAATTCAGGCTTATTTTAGATTCAAGCACAATGTGAAAGTGCACTCCAGCTGAGAGCATCTGATATTCATCAGGTTTTAGCAGGCAACATAAACAAAACATGGTTTTTGAAATGTTATTTCCTCTTGAACGCTTTTGCATTTCATATATGAACAGTTACTTTGCTAATATTTTCTCACACTGGTTCTGACATGATTTTAAAAGTGTCATGTGGGCGTTTTACTTACGTTTTAAGATTTAGACTTGAAAATACATTTCAAAATAAAGCTGAACTAAAAGAAAATGAACAAAGTTGCACTCTGTGTGCATGTGGTGTTGGTCCATTAAATTGTAAACATGTGATTTGTATGAGGTCACCTCTGCGCCTTCTAGATTATGAGGAAGGGACTCCTGCTGCTCTTCCACCAAAACCAGAACAGATCCAAGACCGCCAGGAACCAGCATCTGGAACGCACAAACACACACACACACACACACACAGACATACACACACACACACAGATGGAGAGAGAAACACACATGATTCAGCTACTTGATCACATCTGCAGGCAAATTAAAGCACACAAGTAAACATTTAGCACATGTGGCTAAACATGTTTTGTTTTTGTTTTTTCCTCACCTGGAACGTTTTAAGCGCAGAGAGGCAGAGAGCGGAGGGTGGAGAGCGTCTGCTGTCCATTAACACTGTGAGACCTTTTTCTTTGGCTGCCGGCCTGATGAGGACGGATGGAGAGAGGTGGGTGTACATTTAAAACAGGAGCAGTAGTTAGAAAAAGACGTTTTCCTCTACAATGAGACACCTGCAATTTAATAAATACAGATGAATGATGCCTATCACAAGATTTAGAACTTTTTACAGGATCATTTTCTCATTTTTCTGGCACATACCATGTTTTCCTAACCTCACCTTTTGCAGTATTTGGCAAAGCCATCAAAAGGCAACTCAAGTCAAATATAATTGTGAAGCACTTTTGGCTTTGTAAATAAGGGGTTTAACAAGAAACAAATGACACATGCCCAAATATAAACATCAGAGGACAAGTTAATGAAGTTTTAAGATATACAGGTGTGTGAATGTGTTGCATGAGCAGAGGGTGAATCAGAAACAACAGGGATTTTATGGTATGAAAGTGGGTAATGTGCACTGTAAGGTCTGCTAAATTTGCAAGCCTTAATTCTCTGATGATACATGCAAACTTATCCTACAGGGACGACTAAAATAAACCACTGAAATGTATCTCTGAATAAGATTTTCTGATTAGAGTAGGAAGAAGAAGAGCACAGCATTACCGAGTGATTCTGTGGTAGCAGGCCAGAACCCGGGCCACCTCCTCCTCACAGAAACCCTCCTCTGATACATCTGTCGCCGTAACAACCAGAGCACGTCCCAACCTGTCCATGGTACCTGTGCATCAAAGCATCAAAATAAGCTTCTACTTTGGGATAATCACATTCTAAGTTTAAGAAATACATTTATAATTCATAAATGGGGCTGCAAGCAAAGAGTATAATTTTGGCCATGTGTCCAATTTGCAGCATGAAATTTCATGGGCATTTAGCAGATGCTGCAGTGACAGGAAAGTTGGGGAGAAACAGAGGGGCTGACATGCAGCAAAGGGCCATGAGTCAGACTTGAACCTACAGCCTCTGCGGATACGACTGAGCCTAAGTGGCACACACTCTACCAGTTGGGCCATATGAGCACCCTAAGAGGTGTGATTTCTGTTGTAATATTCTTTTTTAATCGGACGCTAACGCGTGAAGAGCTTGTAGCCGAACCATGTGTACTGGACAAGAATAAACAACAACAAAGTCACTTGTTTGGATGACGCTTTAATCCAAAGCAACACTAAAGCTTTGAACCGCGACTCCGGTGGGACTCGAACCCACAACCTTTGAATTGCTTCATCTCTGTCTAGAAGTCCAATGCGCTGTCCATTGCGCCACGGAGCCACGACTTCTAAGGCTGACAGTAAAGTAGAGATTTGAGATGACTCTGCTGACCGGCATAATAGAAACCACTGTAGACCTGAAAGAAACTTGCCTGTCAACTGCAGCTTCCCTGACTGGAGAAGTTCTGTGTCCAACTCCCTAAGCAGGGGAGGCTCTTTAGATGTAACGCCATTCAATTGGTCAGGACATGTCTCTCCTGATCCCGCCTCCTCATTAGAGTGGTTAAATAAGGATGTGCCTGATTGGCCATTACAGACTGTCAAAGGTTCAGCTTCTGTCTCTGTTGAGAGATACAAAAGTTATAAAAAATATTCAATTCATAACTTTTAGAATCTAATGTTCACATGAAAACAACAATTATCTCCAGACCTGTACTGCTTTTCTTTGTGTTCTCGGTGCTCGCTGTATTTGTAGTGGACACGCCGTCAGGTTGGTCAGCCTGCCCTGTTTGTTCCGACTGGTTCTCCTCCGTGATGGGCAGCTTCGTTGAAGCGGAGCAGGTGGTGGGACTTGGTTGAGGAGCTTTAGCTTGCGGCTTCGAGCCCCTCTGGTGTGCACGGCCGCCAGATCTAGCCCTCCCTTTGGCCCCCTTTCCCTTCCTTTTCCTCCTAAAGACAAAGCACAGGAAGGTCTTAATGAGGTACAAAAGAAAGTTAATAATTGTGCCGTTCATACATAATGTTCTTCAGAATGTGTTCAGGAGGTGTCTTTTGTATCATCCTCCTCACCTCTATATGTGTGTACGTTCGGACAACCTGTACCTTGTGCACAGTGGTTGCACCTAAGTGTTACCTAAGAGTTACGGATCTGTACTTTCATATGGAGGTGTGAAAAAAGAAAACAAATAAAGATGAAAGAGGGCAGGGTATCATAAGAAATAAACCTGTACCTTGGCGCTCTGAATCCCGCAGTTTTGACCTCTTTTCCTCTAGGACACATTCTGTCCTCGGTCTTTCCTTCATCCCTTTCCTCTGCCAGCTTTGGGTTAGACGAATTCTTCATTTTAGACCCACTGTTAGCAATCTCTCCGCTTTCTGAAACTCCAGTGAATGGTCTCTCTGGTGCTTCTGATGTTGGGGTTGTGGCATCACTGTCTCCGCTCAGTGGTTTATCAGTATCCTCAAAAACCGAGTCTGAATGAGATCCGTGATCTGAGTGGCCCTCTATAACATGCCCGACTTTGTGGTTCGTCAAGACATGCATTTCATTTGTGACCAAACTGTCGCCGCTCTCAGAGTCTTTACTTCTGTGGTCATCTCTGCACGGCTGCATGAGGCCGTTGCTATCTCTCTCCCTGCCCACGCCTGGCCTCCTCTCTTTGAATGGGCCATCAAAATAAAGGTGGCGGCTTTCAAGGCCCTCGGAGTCTCTGCTTGTTTTATCTCCTTCGTCAGAGTCATGGACAGAGGAGGAATAAGACCGCCTCCCTCTGCCAGATTCAGGGACTCCTGGCAGAGGCCGAGGTGGTAACTGGTCACCCTTGGGGGGCGCAATGTCTCCTTTGGCGCCAAGGATAGCCCGAAAGCTTCCTGACCTTTCCATTCTCCCGTATCCCCAAGCTTTCCCCTTGCGGAGTTTGATGGCTTTACCTCTCCGGCACAGAGGCAAAGTCTTGGTCTTACAGATCCCATGCATCTCCAGGTACCTTTGCCTTGGGTCAACCCCACCATCAGGACCCCCTCTGGGCTCCAACAGCTCCACATAGTCCCCGTCGAGCTGAGGGTGCCTCACTGTCCGCCCAAGCCCATCTTCACTGCGCCTTCGCCGGGGGAGTGCAGACTCAGAGTCCAGGCCGTCTGGTGGTAAATCTTCATCTTCCTCCTCATCCCAGGACCATGAGTCCAGTTCTCCAGAGGATGAACCACCCCAGCCCCCAAGGCTGCTGCCCCCTTCACTAGGCAGGCGGTTGGATATGGAGCCCTCGTGGTTGGACATCAGGCCCAGCTCCTCGGAGGGGTCGTGGATGAATTTTGGGTAGACAACCTCCTTCCACGGGAGTCGCACCACACCATCACATGTACTGACCAGGCAGGTGTCAAGCCCTCCTCCAACTGTGGAGGAATGAGAGAAAAGTTTAATGTTTATGACAAGTTCATATCCGTATTGAGGGCTCTTCTACTTACAAAAAAAAAAGAAGATAGCAACATAAGCTATCTGAAAAACAAATGTTTTAAGTTTTGCTGCCTTTCGTTTGCTCTGTTGTTAGGTCTTCTAACTGCTGACCACTTGCTGACAACCATATTTCTCTCCCTTCTCATTTTGTCCTTCCACATGCCATCCCTTAGTCATGTACTTGTCTCTTCTCGCCCAACTGTTTCAGTTCCCCTGTTTCACCTGCAGTTTTCCTCACAGTCATCACTCACTGGCAAAGCTCAATATTAATGATTTTCACCTAAAAACCTGATTATGATCTTAATTCTGATATAAACCTCCTTGCGACCCTTAATTTAAAATACCAAGTATCAGTAAGAATTTTTTATCTGAAATTAATTGGAATGCCTGTTTTGGAAATCATCGCCCGTGCTTTCTCGTGTACAGGACGTCCTCTCCTTACCTTCTCTCTTGTGGCCCCGTTCTTTGTTGACACTGTGCAGCCACTCAGTGGTGAAAACAAGAGGGTGCTGTGACTCAGGTACCAAGATTTCCTGAACAGTGCGCCCCCCGGGGGCCAGACATTTCAGAGCCAGTCGGGGACAGCGTGTCGAGAAGGGCACCACCTGCAGGTAGAAGTCATTACTACGCAGGAGCCTCCAGTCCAAGGTTGAGAGTTGGACGACCACTTTCTCGCCCAGACACAGAGGCCAGCCGGAGTGAAGGAACAAGCAACCCAGGTACTGAGACTGAGATGACAAGAAGGAATGGAGAGGAAGAGAGTGTGTTAAATGTATAAATAAAGTAGTGCACTCACTGCCTTTAAGAAATCTCACCTTTAGAGTCCACTCTTGTCAAAAACTACTGGAGTTAATGCTCCTGCATGATCTTTCTCTCCCATTCACAAAGCCCAGCCCACAGCAACCAACTGGAACTCGCCTGCACGGTTGCGTTTGGTTGCTCAGATGAGCTGAATTTCTAGAACTAATACCACACCAGTCAACACTATTCAAAAGCTCGATGGGCAAAAAGCCAGTCCCACATACAAATGTCAGACATGTGACTCACACGGTGCAAAAACCGCTTAGCTGGCATGACAGAGTGAGAAGACTCTAGATCACTGCAGAGCATCAGTGTGAGTCAGTCAGAAACATGCAGATGACCAGCTCTTCACAACAAGCCAGCCACTGTCAAAACAGTCCATTTTTTCCGTGAGAGAGGAAAACACATCACTGAGAAAAGCACACTAAACAACAGGGGTCTAAATATAGAAAATCCCTCAACAAATCATAGAAGCATTTACTCAAGAAACACTGTGAATTCAGGTGAAGGAGAGAAGGCCCCTGGTGGTATCCTGTGCACCATTAATCAACTGTTCTAATTAGGAAAAAAACACCTTAAGCCAAACACTATTCCCACCTTAATCAATGCCGTGCCAGATCTATAACCCGTCTCTCGCAGTCTGAGGTATAAAACCCATCCAGAACCTCTCCCTGCTGTTCCCAGTCACATCTAATCGACTGACACGGGGCCGCTCCCTCCCCCCTCCGTGCCCTCCAGACTCACGAGACCTGATCAAATTATATTCCTCACTCGACCTCTCCCCCATCTTCCCTTTTCCACCTCTCTGCCCTTTATTCAATTTCTCCTCTTTAAGTCTCCCTCCTGTCTTTTTTTTTTTTTCTTCAAGAAAGCCACTTTCTGATATCTCTCGTGTTGGATATTAGCATTTAAAAGCATGTGTGACTTTTCCATCTCCTAAAAAGTTTTGTCTGTTTTGCGTCAGCCCACATTCTGTAACTCTGTGTGTCCTCTGGCCCTCCTCCCTCTGCCTACTTCTCCCTCAATGTACCCCAGTGTTTGCTCCCTCTTCCCCACCTCCCATTTCTGCAGAATTCCTCAATCAGTCTACTATAATCCACAACCTTCCAGCATCTTCTCCTTTTTTTTTTTTTTTTTTCTCGGACACACACGCGCGTGCATGCGGGCTCAGTGAATGAAAGCCATGTTCATTCTCTCCTTCGACTCCCACTGCTTTCTGTGCTACTCACTCTTTCTTTCTCTTTCAGCAGCAACACACTCACATATGGAAGGAATTATTGTCATGACTCACAGTCTCAACTCCCGTCCCGGGCAGCTCCACTCAGCGACAATGAAAACATAGTTTGCTCACAATGCCTGCGCGCGCGCACGAGCGTGTGTGTCCAAGTCTAGGAAAACTGTACAGGGTAATATGAGAAAGTCCTTAGCCTCAAAGCTTGTGCTAAACAGTGTAGATTGTTTATCTTTTTGAGAGCACGAGTGTCTCGGAAAGGAAAATAAAAGGAATGCTGCTCAGTATAAACCTCAGTTTCCCATTTGTTTTGTGCACGTGAGGCAGAAAGTGCGGGAGAGTGACGAGAGGACACGATCACTGGAAGTTGCATTTCTTTATTTCACTGTGTTTCATTCATCTGTCTGCTCAGCTTTCACGGCAGGAGACCCCCTCTTTTCGTCTGAGGTGAATCTCAAATTTCACCAGCCACTTTCTCTCGCTGGTTTTACTGAGCGGCTCGAGTTTTAGAGAAAGACCCGACCCTCCACAGTGTAGTTAGTCGCTGGTATACGGGTCAGGCATGTGTCAAATTATGCATGCCTTGAACTTTCCCTTTGCATTGGAGTCTTTATGTGACCAGATACAGGCTGAAGACTTGGCACTTAGATTCGACTGCCTAAAAGCTTCAACACTCCTCCTCACAGATGACTTGGACTTGCCCTTTAAGAGCTAAACACAAGTGAAGTAACTGAACACCGAACAGATACACACAAAAATGACCTGATGTCCATTTTCACCAAAGGAATTAAAAAAGCGAACAGCTGATAAGATTTCTCACACTGTACTTTCTGCAGTTAATTGACAGATGATGATGCTGCTTCTGATTATACAGCTACGTGTGTGTTCTCCGCCACAGTGTGTTTGCAGTGTGGAACTCACACAGGCGTGCTGCTGGAGTTTGTGCAGGAGGTGCTTGGCAGGAACAAAGTAGTCCAGGAGGTAGCGAAGACTGTCGTGTTGATAGGTCGACTCCAGGACTGAGAAGACCTGGACAAAATGTGCCAAAAAAAAAAACAAAAAAAAAACACCTGAGTGAAAACCACTGGGGTGAAACTTTTAACAACTTTAATGAATTAAGAGCAGCCTTTCTTTAAACTAGAGCTTGGCGCATTCGTTGAGTGTATCTAATGGATTCTGAAAGGGTTTCAATTGCTCAAGAGTGGAAGAATTTCCTCAGTCCAGACAGCATGTAATCAGAAATTAAAACAAGAAAATCACCATGTCAGGGCTCCTTCACTTTATCCATTTTATTTCATTGAGCAGCTATTTCCATAGCAACAAAAAAAATTTGATTGGAAGCTACATGGCAACTTGGAACGACACAATTACCAAATCCCCATAAACTATAACTGAGATTAGCTCAGAGGCCCAATTAGTCTTCTGGCTTTTAGGGAAATTAATCTAAAAGCACTAAAAACAAATATGACTTTAGCGCTCTGTAATGCCAGGCTGGAGATGCTAAGAGTTCCAACAATGCACGTGTAAGAGATTTTAACAGTTTTGCCAAGCTTTCTTACAATAAATGTTATGACTGAAAAGCAGAAGTGCGCAGCTTTTAGTGAAATAAGTCATGTCAGGCTCGTGGTTGCAGGAAGAGGGTTTGGCTATAATTGACCAGCTGGCTAGATTTTGTTTGTGTTGGCTTCTAGCAACAGTTTATATTTGGGGGAGGCTGTGTTATCTGCACATAGCATCGCCTTCCCAACGTAGCCCAGCATCACCATATCATTTAATTGAATCTGCATTATTTATATCCCCACCAAACCCCCACCCTCCCTCTCCTGTTTATTGCTGTAAACATGTGGACTCGAATGAAGGTGTGTGCTTGTGCGGTCTACCTGGGAGAGGAGGGGTGGTGCTGTGCTCTCGAAAGGAGGATAAAGCGACGAGAGCGCCCCCTGCACGCAATCCTCCATAGCCTCCGAACCCTGAAAGAGACACACACAGATGGTAAGAAAGGGTTAATCCATAACCGGACACTGAATCAACACAAATGTCTGTGTTTGTGTTTAACAGCCGGCATGTCTCGCGTTTAAAAAAAAAAAATTATGCTGACACGCACACACACACACACACACACACACACACACACACACACACACACACACACACAGACAAATATACACACATACTCTACTTTCAGCTTCCTGTTTTATGGTCTGGGGAGTGTCAAACATTTCCTCCAAGGCCCATAAGTGTAAGAACCCCCAGAACAAAAGAGACCAGAAACCACTGCAGCATGTGCACACCCTAACACACACACACACACACACACACACACACACACACACACACACACACCATACATGCATGCACAGTCGCATGCACATTCACACACATCATAACACTGGGCCGGCCCGTGAGGTGGAGGGTGACAGAGCAGAGCATGCAACAACCGTACAGTGTTTATTTTTCTGCACTGACCGTTGCCTTGGCAACCTGCAACTTTTTTTTTTCTCTTTCTTTTCCAACTTCTCTCTTTCGCTCTCCCTCCCTTTCACGTTTCCTTTCCAACCTCCCATCTGCTCCTCTGCCTCTTTTCCTCAGTTTCACCCCCCCCTCCACCTCTGTCTCCTCCTCCCACCAACCCCGCTCTCTTTTTATTTTTTCCTCATCTCCAATTTTATTTTTTATTTTTTTCTAAGCCAACTTTCTTTGTTTCACCTCCATCCGACTCTCTGAATGTCATCTGACAACAATTATGGCAGGATTCTCTTCAACAGACAGCATATTGTGCTGACTAACTACAATAACCGAGGGGATGGAGAGAAAGCCATGGGAGAAAAACCAGAACGGGAGAACAGAGTGTACGGAAAAAGAGAAGAGCGGCTAGCGAGAGAGTGAGCCAGGAGGGAATGAGCTGGTGGTGGTGCGGGGGTTTTTTCACGGAAGAAGACCCGGGTCCAGCAGTGTTTGAAAATTATTTTTTGGCTTTGTTTTTGTGTACAGAGCGGGGTCAGGGTTAGCCACAGAGGAGGATAGAATGGGTGTCAAAAACAAGAAAGCATCTGAGACGAACTGAAGTTTTTCTGTGACTAACAACTTACGTAACCTTGTCTGAAATGCCCTGACAAAATAAATTCAATAAATCAGGCTCAAACAAATGTCAGGACTTATTTGCAATTGTTTCTTGGTGCATGTCTGGAGAAAAAAAGATGGAGAAAAATGGAAATTTATTTTGCACAAGAGAGCAGGCAGTTGCAGGGTGGAACAGAAAGAAGGCACAGGTCACTAGGGGACTGAAAACTAAGGAGAGGAAAGTTGAAGACAAAGCAGAACACTTAAGAAGAGTCAAATCAGATCTACAGTAACACAGCTCAGGGTCATTCACAGGAGATGTTCGTTTCTGTTTCCTACCCGCTCTCTTGGCTGCAGAGCGGATTTTTAAACAGTGACCTCAGCCCTCACGGCACCAACAGTAAAGTGGCACCGGGCTCAAATTCACGCAGCTTTATTTTTCCATAGTAACAGAAGATTTTGGACGAGAGCGATACAGCAACTTGGAAAAAACACAAATGACAAAGCTTCCATAAATGTTGCTGAACACGGCTCGGTTTTCCAGAAGTAAGAGCAGCTCAAAGGTCTCGTTGGCCTTCAGTGAACAGAACCACTAAATCACCAAGAAACCACATATAAAACACCCATCTTGAAAGAGATAAGCGTCCACCAGGGTCATTTATGTTAAAAACAAGTTCAAACTGTGCTGGTTGGTTGGCACCTCTTTACATACATGGTTGGCACATACAAGTTTCCAGGTAATTAAGCATTTTAAGGCTCATTAAGTTGAAACAAGGCAGGAAAAAATGCAATGGTGCAAAAAATAAGACTTTAGCAAGATTTAAAGAACAACACTAGATGAAATATTATTAGATGCAAGTTGAGACTAAAAGCTGTAGGAGATGTTTCCTGAAAAGCACATGCAACCATCAGTAATGCAGACAGTTAAAGCAGACTTACCCTCTGCTACCGTATGATGCAGAGATGTCTCATGATATAAAACGTGCACAATCAATACTTTACTTCTACTTACTACTTTACATCTGTGTAGAAGGTGTACAAGGGGAGGTGTCGTAGACTATTGGAAAACAACAGTCAACTGTCAGCGAGCATGTTGTAATAGGTGTAGTGGTTGTAAAACAGCCTTCTGGCTCACTGACACGACATATTGAGTCTAGTAAAAGCACAGCGGGGGGGGGGTTCAGGGGATTGCAAGGCGAGCCAGCAGGAACTTCCTCCTGGAGTAAAGCCCTTTTTAAAAGCGTCCCACAAGACTTGAGTTAATTCAACGCAACACTAAATTAGAGTCGAAACAAGAACCGAGACACTTTCTGATCTGGTCTGACTGTGAATGCCAATATATATAATATACAATGTGTGCTGCATCCCATCTTTGCAAAGCTTCCATACTTTCAACAGTCTCACAGAGGCCAATGGGATCAACTCCTAACCCTCAGGATCAAATATTATGTAGCTTGCGCCAGAGAACCAGTCACGCCACAGTGAACAATGCACCACTCATAGAGCTTCATTACTTAGGCGTTGGTACAAACAGGCCACTCAGGTTTGGAGAGCACACTTTTGAAACTGTCCGACTGTAGCTAAAACTCACTGTAGCTTACTCAGTGACAGGCTAGTTAGCCTGCAACAATATTTAGCTTGGATGTGCGATGCACAATTGTATTGCACCAGCCACCTTCCACACATCCTCACAAACCCCACCCCACCCCACCCTCCTTATTTTTCCTCAACATTGAATCTCTTATGTTTGCATGCCTGTGCACACAACTTTCAACAGGATATACCACTGCTAACATCCAAAGAATGGAATTTCAGTCTGGAAGTACGATCACTCAAACACACCGGGATTGATGTCCATAGAGAGAAAAAGTGTGTGATGCTGCTTTTCCACCAAACCACAAAATCCCCTGTAAAACTGTGAACATTGTTTATTTTCCAGTAAAATCAGGTTAATGTTTTTAGCAACGCAGCAATACCATATGTGCTCTCTGGTAAATGGTCAAGATGATTCATATGTGCTGTGCTCCTGTCTAACCTGTAGCTTATGGTACCGATGCATCTAATGCAATTAGTCACTCTCCTTCTTGATCACAGGCTGGTACGTGCACATGAAATAAAACAGCCCTAATGAAATTTGTAAATTAGATTTCTCTTGAGTCTCCTAGACAAAAGGAGCCTCTCATGTAAAACCTGGTGCCTCCTCTTTAAGGAACTATAGGTGTAATTCAGTTACTCTTCATTCAGATACTTGGTGCTAATGCATGCAGGTATTGCAAGTCACCTCAGACAAAAAAACCATCTGCATCTAATGCAATGTAATGCATATGGACTAGAGGCTTTGCTCATATATCACAGATTTTCCAGCAAACACTACTGGCACCATCTCCAGTGTCCTTTGGAGAAGTAGCTGTACACACATTATCACCACATAAAACAAAATTAGAAAGATGATGAGGAACAGATCTGAGTTAAGAGCTTGACAGGAAACACGACTGTTTATTTTAGGCATACTAAGAATAGCCTTCAACCGAGAAGTGCATGTGACCACTTCTATTTCATTAATACATTCATAGACTTGTTCTTAAGTTGTTAGTTTTTGTTTTTTTTCGCACGTCATCATTCTGGGAAAATCCAAGGAAGGTACTGTTTAGGCTTTGCTGGGCTTTACTTAAGAACTTATGCACTGTCTGGCAGATCTTCTAAATCTTAAGAGTACTGACGAACTAAATAAAATATAAACGAACGAATTAAATACAGACAGTATTAGAACGGATCCTACATGCAGAGTCAAGTACTCAAGATCTTTGACGTAATCTTACGTATTAACATGAGAATACACTTAAAGTACCAAAAGTACTTGTTATCTGTAATGGCCCCTTTTGTGGAGGTATATTATATGAATGTGTACGTCACTGATGTTGCAGCTGGTTAAGGTGCAGCTAAATTTATAATTTCTTTACTGATCGTCAAATTGTGAACCTTCCAACTGGGGATCAATAAAGTCTTATCTTAAAATGTAATAATACACCACGTTTGAATGAATTATAGAAATCTGTAAAGTTTGTAGTAATTGAAGTTATCAAATGAATGCGATGGACTAAAAAGTACAATATCTGCCTTTGAATTGTAGTGGAGTAAAAAGACGGATTAAATAGAAGTACTCAATTAAAGTACAGCCTCAAAACTGTACTTAACCACAGTAATTGAGTAAATGTACCAATTTCTTTTGATTTTGAATGTGTCCGAAAACATGAAAGATTAAGTGTTTCTTTATGGGCTGGGGAAAAATTGCCTTGCATCTTAAGACAATTAAATTCTCAAGCCATTAAAAATCCATTAGATTAGCTGAAAATGCATCGTCTCCAAGCTGAAACAATACTTTTTTCTATGATGGTGAAAAGCTGGAGACACATGTTTTCCACAGGACAGCAGCAGTATGATATTTATACAGATATTAAAACTTAAGGAAATCCTGTGATGACAACTGAGCATACTCCATCCACAGGGGAAGACCATTGGATGCAGTTAAAACAACAAAACGGTAGCAAACAGGTTTTGAGTTTAGCTGTTTTTTTTGTCAAACCATAAAAATAAACTTTACAACTGAGCCCATAACAAAGGGTTGTCTCTTTTCAGTTCTTGCCTGCTAACTGACAGACCACCTCATGGCTCTGGTTTTCTGGTTATGTATAATTACAAGATCGGCAGCAACGGCAAACACAAATGTCCTGTCTTCAAAACAACCCGTCCCAAACCAAGGGGTGGCATCTTACTCACTCTGTCCGATGTTACTTACAGTCTGAGGTTGTTGAGTCACCAGAAAAGTGTGTGTGTGTGTGTGTGTGTGTGTGTGTGTGTGTGTGTGTGTTCATGGAGTGTAAGCGAGGAAATTTAGTACAGTGGTGCATGAGTGGGCATCCTCATGTTTGTGTCAGAAAATGGACACGCTGTACGGAATCAGTGTATGTCATTCTTGTGTCATACTTCCTGTCTTTCTCTCCTGTAAGAGGCGGTGGTTGTCCTCCAAACAGATGCTTGGCACAGAGAGGAAAAACAGAGAGAGACAGGAAGAGGTGCAGAAAAAATGGAGCAGGGTAAATGAATTGAGAAATAGAGAGAAATAGAATACAGCGAAAAAAAAAAAAAAGGTAATGCAAGTGGCTTTCCAATATATATACAGTACAAACAGCCCTCAAACCGTCAGCTTATTGAAGTCTGAGTGATTGAGGAAACAGATTGAAAAGGAGACAGACTGACAGAGAGACACTGAGAGAACCAGACAACCCTTTACCCTATAGAGAGAGAGAGAGAGGGTTCACACAGAAAGAGGGAAAGAGAAAAGGAGGAGGAGGCTGACCAGAGGGAGAGATCGATGGGAAACAAGAGCAGCAGTAACCATGATAGAAACCAGATGTAGAACCCCTACAGTACATGATGGACAGAGAAAGAAGGGAAGAGCGATAGAGCAGAAAGGAGCTCGGAGAAGGGAGGGAGTGATAGGAGATGACATGATTAGGAGAAAACATGAGAAAGATGCCGACAGAGAGGAGAGGGGCGGTGAAGAGAGGAGACGGGGGGGAAAAAAGAAGAGGCAGACAGACAAAGGGAAAAGAGGATGCAGGGGAAGAAAGAGGAGAGGCCTGAGACTGATTTCCTTTTCTAAATCTCCCCGTATAATCTAACCTGGACCTACAGTAGGTCAAACAGTTCACCGGGATTGTTTTCGACTACTTAAGTGCTACAGTCTGTCGCTGAAGTTTCACAGCAGCAGCTAACATGAAGTCTATTATGTGAACTGTGGTACTTTATGAGAAATGTGATTATGAGCACAAATGACTGGTGTTGTTGGTTTCCCTATGTGTGACATTTCCTGAGATTACCTATCTCTGAGTAGGTTAGGCAAAATGTCATCTTGGTAACTTACTTCTCCCATCTCATCAGTACAACTGTAGCAACACACAGTAGCTGGTGGCTAACAGTTAAGCCATACTGTTAAAAAAAAAACACTTTATTTGGATGTAAAAGTGAAAGTGAGCAAACATGAAATGTCCGGAATAACCCAATTACGATAAGATCAAAGTTTTAGGAAGTAGGTCTGTAAACTGTGATGTTAATAATGGACACTTTCAATAACAATTTTAGCATTCAGAAAATAAGTTTGGCTAACACGGGGTTTGTCTACAACCTGTGTGGAAATATGACCGCTCGTGTTTCTTGCCACCGTGATGTTGCTTTACTATTACCAAAACCAAAACAATGAACTCAAAGAGGCTAAAATGCATCACAGAGCCGAGTGACACAGCAGAGCTCCCTGTTGGTTTGTCGCTACAAGCATCACCTTTCATATTACAAACATTTGGTCAATTGGTAATGAAATGAAAATATTTATTAAAGAAGTAATATTTTCTGATTTCAATTTAATGTTTATGGCTATATCCTGGATTAAAAGGCAAAATAAGATGAAGAACATGATGAAGAGCAAAACAAAAGCAACAAAATTCTTTGGATGCACAATAAAGATGCCAATGAAATTGCCATAAGCAACAAATTCGCTGCATTAAAAAGTAGTAATTGTTGGTCTGCATGCACTGTACTGTCAGAGTCTGGATAATCACAGGAAACTCGGTTTAAGATAGATTCTGTGATTGACAACATCACTGCTCCTGTCTGGATTGTTCGAGTGCTGTTATCTCCACCCGCTTGGTACTCCAAGCAGTTTAAAACAAACACTGCTCTTAACTTTCATCAGATATTTTTTTTTCTTTAGTCAGGGACTGGTACATCCCATTAGCGTTTCAAAAACACAGCACACCAGACAGAGGGAATGGAAACACACTGCCACATATTCATGGCTAAGGAACACTGTTGTGTGTGTGTGTGTGTGTGTGACTGTGTGACTCTGTTTGCTGATGCATTTTAACACCTAAGTGCATGTGTTAGCAGCAGCCATATTTGTCCCTTAGCGAGTACATATGCACACATTCATTCAGTCTTGTGTTTTTATTTCGTGAACACATGTTGTTTGGACGGTTGTTTGTTGGCTCATATACAGTTTACACAGCGCTGTTATTATTAAGCCTTAAATTTACTTTCATGAGCCTGGTGTTGTGGAAAAAGTTCCGTTTCTATACACTTGTGACTTTGCTGTGACTACATGTGCTCTTTTGTGTACATCTGTTACTCTTTTCAGTCCCAAACTTTCCTTGTCGGGTACTGAGGAAGATGAAACTGTACCGCACATGTTCTTCCTTCCCTGAAGTCCATGCCATCCCTTGTTCCTGCTTTCTTTCTCCTTTTTTTTCTTTTTCTCTCTCTTCCCTTCTCTCCCAGGTCCAATGTGGAAAATGCAGCATCACAGAAACCACTGTTGCAGCCGTCCAAGTCTCCTAAAATAAAAAGTAACCCTACCCTCCTCTTTTATTCCGCTCTTTCCCACTGCACTTCTCCCTTTCTCTTTGCTTTTTCTCCCCCTCTCTCTGCCAAACTGCTCCACCCTGCCCAACACGCAGAAGCGGGAATATAACCTAAATCTTTCTTTGTTAAATTCTTTCTTTCTTCATTTAATTAATTTATGTTCTTAGTTCTTACATGTGTGCATGTGTTTGCCATCTCCCAGTCTCTCTGCCTCCGTGTGTGTCACTGATCAGACCATAAGTGGGTGGGGATGGTAAACAAAGTCCCAGGAGATGCAACAGAGAGCTTTAGAGAAGCTGCTGAGCTTCTCTGCAAATCAACCGCAAACATCACTAACGTCACACAACTTAAATCATGTCATAATAATTTGCTGCCACTGGGATTTGACAACTTTGTAATCTATAAACCAACAGTTGTAACTGACGACAAAAGTTATTCCCAAATCAAATGCATGCCTTTATGAGAAGCGCATGATTACAGTAAAAAAAAAAAAAACATATAAAGGTAATGCTGTTTTAGATTTTTTGAAACACATGAGGAAGTAATATGTCACTGTAGCCCTATGCAAATCTTATAAATATACTATAAAGTAAATTTAAGACAGAAAAAAACTTCAGTTGTCATGTTGCCACAGGTCAGAAAACAGAAAACCCCAATGATATCAGCCAACTATAGGACTTAAAGATGAAATAAGTTGAGTACACAGGCATTTTGAGTCCCTAAGTAAGTTTGGAAATGTTTTGTGTCACATGTCTAAAACCTGAACAGTAACAGTGTCTCTTACTTATTAGGAAAGTTAGATAAGTTTTAGCATTGTCTACACAAACAGTTCTCCCTGTCTTAAAAAAAAAAGGGGGACTTACCATGACTTCAGTCAGGAATTCCTACATAGTCCTCAGCTCCTTTCCTGAACTCGCTTCCTCTCCGCATTCTCCGCAGAAACTTTCTCCCCTCAGTTAGAATCAAACACCCTCCATGACCTCCTCTCTGTGATTTTTTTCCCGGTCAAATCGCTCTTTTTCTGGGATATCAGCGGGTAAAAACAGTCCTCCTCTCTTCCCTAGTCTCCGCTATGTTTCCCAGCCTGGGAATGTCCAAGCTGATTTTTTTTTTCCCTCCCCTATCCGGCGGTCCCACGCACTCCCACCTCCCTCCCCTCCCCTCCCCTCCTCTCACCTAACAAGAGCACTACAGTCCCTCTCAGCACTCAAACTTTCCATTTTTCCCCCCAGAGTAACTTAAATGAATTGACAATGAAACGCCGTTGCCCCACCCAGGCGTAATTGCAAAGAAAGCTCTGATCTTTTATTGTTGGGGAATTGGTGAAATTGAATGTTCTTTAATCTCAGTGGGAGATAATTAAGTCTATTGTAATTTAGCTCAATTTGATGAGAAGGGTTGGTGCAATCTGTAAAAATACTCAAATAATAAATGGCAAGTGAGTCTGTTTCCGCACGTGTTTCATGAATATATGTTCAAGAATTTCTATTAATGGCATATAAACCTTACCAAAACATACCAAATTGCATTCACAAAAAGTACGTTTTTAGCAGAGTGGATTTTAGTGTAGAATATTGTGAAGGTTTTTAGCAGTACTAGGCTACATTACCCTGGGGCACTTAAATTGCCCTGTGGCCACCCATCTGACAGGATTAAAGGGCTACTCCATGGATTTAGTTTTGCACTTCCGCAACACTGGGAGACATTCAAAAGACTTTTTTCAACAAAAAAAAGGTCAAAATTGACACAGCAGTGGTCAAGATAGTCCAACTTTTAGTACCCAGAGACAAGCTCCAAAAACTCTGGATCCTACATTTCCCACAATGCAACCCAATAGCATATTACACTAGATATTTGAGCTTGAAAGTTGGGAATTCTGAGTTGGAAATTTCTACTAGAATGAATGCTGAAGTTGGATTTCTGACTCAGGAAGTCAAAAGAACCTCACCAACCAACGACCTCAAAATCCCAAATGGCTGCTACGCACATCAGCAGCAATGAAAGCTGTAGTAATATACTGTTTAATCGCACTTCTGTCTTATTTGTGTCTCATTAAATCTGTCGTACTTCCCAACTTCTATCTGTGGACATGTTGCTACAGTATTTATATGTGTAAAATATAGCGTAACGTATCGTCACAAACTGGTATTGCTAACAATAACAACAAGCAAGCAACAAACGTAACAAGCTTCCAATTTTGTTGTATAGTGTGACATCAATTTGCGAGGTAAATGGAACGCAGTGTTGCTGTACCTAGTAAATGCCAGTGTCTTTCACCTTCCATGCCCCAGTTTGTAACACACAGCTCTGTTAAAATGAGTAAAATCAAAGGCCAGGTTTAGCATTGAGACATCTCAGCGTTGTTTTCTTAGATTTTAGAAATCTTCCCAAGAGTCAAATGAGAAATTAAACCTGTGTTTGTCTTGATGGCTTCATATGTTTAAGTGTCCTCTCAGGTTAATCCCCAATACACTGATTAAAGAAAGTTAAATTTGAGATGTAATGATCCAGGTTTTGATCTCTTGTGAACCATTCAGTAACAACCATTTACCTACTTATGGAGCCTTCTGAAACCATGTAATAGGCTACGTAGGAGTACACTTTGCGTAATAGCTGTCATTTTACCAGTAAATGGCTTAGGTCACTTCATAAAGAACATAATATAATGTGTTTAAAATTTTCTTTACGCTGCTACCAATGCGAGCCTTGTGTTAATGGCGTTCAGTAAACTTGCAGTGGAGAAATGTTTATATCACAGTGATGGAGAACTTACTTTTTCCCCTCATTTATAAACATAAAGCCACATTTCAGTTTTGAGTTGCAATGACTCACAGTTTCTTTTATAGCTTTATTGCCCCATAATGGTGCCACATTGGTTGCTATAGCATTGCTAAATTTAACCTTTATAGTTGGTGTGCAGACGGCTCTGAGTGAAGGAGTGGAGTCAGTTTAGAACATCCTCTGCAAAAGCTCAACAGCGCCCCCCTGTGCTGTGAAATAAACATTACAGGAATAGATTAAGATAAACATTTGCCTCTTCTTGTATATATTGTTTTGTAAAATACACATTTGTTTCTGGCTCAGTTACAGAGAAGAACAGGGCAACTACAAATACATGATATAGGACATCTCGTTTATGTGATTGTTTCTAGTTTATCAAAAACATTAAAAAAAGAGTATAACAGAATGGTGATGAAAACCTGCCCATCAACTGTGATATTACAAATACAAAGTGACATCTTGGGGTTCAAAAGCATCCGACTCCTACTGAATTTTATATCATTTGTTCAGTTGCAAGAGTTTAGAAATAGAAAAGAGTTTTTTGAAAAAAAAAATGTTGCGCAATTTTGTAGAGCCACAACCGACACACCTGGAAAAGTCCCCTGGCAAGAAGGACAAGAAGAACAGCCTCAAACCCCATCCAGCCCTGCCTCTGGGTGCGTTCATCCGTACTGCATCTCAGTTCAGTTTATATTATTGCATTGTGATTACAATCATTAGTTAAACTGTAAACCCACAGGATTGTGACACACCTACTCTAAGGCACCTTGTAATTTGAAGTGTAACTCCTCCCTCTGTGCTTTCCACCGCATGTTCTGCATTCTTGAGCCCATAACTGGTTGGCAGCTGTTTATTTCCATAATTATTAACTGTTCTGTTTGATTATTTACAACTAACTGTACTCAGTTCAATCATACAGCTTAATTACAAAGCCTACAAAGAGACCGCTTGCACATTTTAGCAGCTTATGATGCACTAGCAGAATCTGGAGACTGATTCATTCCTTCTTACCTCAAGGTCAGTCAGACAATTACAAACTAAATATGTAACTGTATCACATTTGCTGTTGTTTTAATGCAAATTTGATTACTTTTGATGTAGTGAACATTGCTATTGATAGTTCAGTTCTACATTTCACATCTTCAAGGTCTTTTCATACATTACAGAGCCAGCTGAATATAATATGACATATTCAGGAACTTAATAGCTATGTAGCTGTTCATACGACCTAAATTAGCTGATAAAGAAAACATATATTGAGGGATACATAATGAAGTAATGGAAGTTCATCTTTTTGCATAGTAACTATAAAAATATGAATTATGAATTTATACATAGTAAGTTGAAATCACTTGTGTGCATGTGCACATGAGAGTAACCAAGAGTTGTTGGAGTAATGCTGCATCATAAAGAGCCAGCATGTTTCTAAAGAGGTCACCAACCCCCTCACTCTATTCCAGGAACATTGGCCTTCATGTTGAGGTCACCATCTCACATCTTTTAATCTTAGAAAAAAGAATCCACAACTTTGCCAAATACTGAGGGCAATGTCCATACTCGGCTTTTGGCAATCTGTATAATTAAATTGCACGTCTTTAACAGATGGTTTCAATGCACAAGGTCATATATGCTGAAGAAATACTCAAATTGGGACTATTATGTCATTAACACTGAGCAGCTACCTGCTCATTCATACAATTACACCTCTAAGGTGCACAATCCCAGTCAGATTCGCTCTGCTCTTCCTGGCTGCAAAGGCTATAAACAGGTCCCAGTGGTGACATCCACAACGGAACAAAGCATCGGACCAGCAAAACCACTCGGCAGCATGCTCACAGTGGGAGGAGGAGGAGCAGCAGGAGGACAAGAAGTGACACTTTCTGAGCTTTCTGTTTCTTTTTTTAAACAGGCCTGACTTGAAACTTCAGTTGTCAGGGGAGTTTTGTTTCCAAATACAAAAGAAAGCATTGACAGCCAGAGTCAGCCCCTTGCAACCAATGAGTCACTATAATCTATCCACAGTTGATCAAGACATATTATCATTTTATCTGGAATAGTCAATCTTATAGTATGTGTTGCTTTTAGCTGTGTGGTACTTAAGACATGTAGCAACACAACAGCGTCAGAAGCCAACAGTATTAGCGCTAGAACCACCTTTATAGTTTGATTACCATCTATCAGACGTATTATTTCATGGCTATACCTGCCAGAGAAGCGTACAGTAGGCCACACCTCTATTTCACAAAATCCTTTCACTGATCACATTAATGTAGCAACCTTCTATGTCTGCACACTGGAAGATGTGTGCTGATATACCCTTGACTGATGAATTTATACCGCATCTGATGAAGGGAGACATCATGAAGAAATATGTCTGGTTTGTTAAATAAATAAGAATTTGTTCTAATTTGGACACATGGACATCTGCTGGTTGTAAACAAATCTTGCCTTTTGTTTTGCCATTTTAAAGCAATTAATTCCACTCAAAAGAATTTGCCCATATGTCATCATTTCTTTACTGCTTGTCATTTGCATTGTTTTCATAAATTACTTTTTGTCCTATCATGCAATTATATTCAGCACTGTCAAATTATTTAAATGACCCTAGACAAATATGCCCCCAAAAACTCAGATAAATGATAGAGAATGGATAGTAGAAATTCCCATCAATATTTAATGCACTTTAATTGAGTAATATTGTATGCAACACTAACCAGTAGGTATATCATTTCCATGACATGAAAATGGGCTTAAAGCTGATTATATTTCTTGCCTTCTTAAAATTAAAACTTGTTAAAAAAAAAAAAAAAAAAAATTCAGTTTATTAAACAACCTCCCATCATTTTTTTTCTTGTTAAAAAAATGTTTACTTGTGTTTACTTTCACAAACAAAAAACTTGTTAGGAAATTTGGAACTCACCAAGATATAACACATACTTACTCAGTGGTTTGATTTATGTTCAGCTTTATGCCAGAATGTTGAGTAATTAGCAGTAATTGGTACGCGATCCACCGTGAACTCACAGTGTGTGAGAAAAGAAAATTTATTTACCAAGAAGTATTAAAAATATCACAATTGAACATGTACAATAACAGAATAGGGATAAAATAAAAATGAACCATCGTGTGATGATGATCACTTCCGGTGGCCATATTTGGCAAAAAAAAGGCAAAAAAACAACAACAAAACAAAAAACACCAGCTCGGGAAAGGGTAAAAAAAAAGATAAAGAAAAGAAAGAAAAACAGAGGGGAAAAAAAACAGTCTTCATTGTGTGGTCCACAAATATGTTTGTTACGGTTAGATAACCACGGAGGTACTCTGAAAATATCTGAAAACCCGCGGTAAGTGTCGTCAAATGAACTATTTTGTTTGTTTTTTTCTATCTGAACAGCTGTCTGATGTATGGCGCTAACTAGCGGAAGTGAAAATGACACACTTAGGTCAGCGCTACCTTTACAAAAGTGCGACATCGATGTATAAACAAAATTTAGCCCAGTTTTACTATCAACGTCTTTTTCACCTGCAAATGACCAAAACAGTGTTTCCTGGATGTGTTACCTCGAAGCTACGTGGCTACTGACTTGGCCAACGTTGCTTAATAGTATCTTTATGTTGAGCCACAGAAAAGCAGTTTATATTCTTTAAACAACCGGGCTGGGCTCTAATATGACAAACGTTTGCTATAGTTTGTGTAAACATCACACCCGCCACCAATTAGCGACATACTCCCAGTTGTCAGTTTATTAGGAACACCTAGCTAAAACTAATATAGTTTGTTTTGAAACACAGTGATTATACAGTTCAACTAACACCTCTGTAACACAGTTTAAACACAAACTGAACATTATAACTCTCATGAATCGGATTTATTGCACTGTTGTATTAGACTGTATTAGTTTTAGCTTGGTGTTCCTAATAAATTGCCAACTGAATGTACTACTGAATCTTCCTAGAAAATGGAGCCCAGAGTGACAGAGCTGTGTAGTGTTTTTTCTGTCCGTCAACAATATCAGTATAATCAATTTGCATAAAATATTTATTTCGAAACATTTTAATAAAAACTCATTTGTTACATAATGCAATGTGCAAAATTAGTTTCACCAATATTTGGTATCATATATAGCGTTCTTTGTGTGCAATGGATCATTTGCATATGAAATTGCACACATACATCTGGGAAAATATCAGCCTATGAAGGCTTCATTTTAAAAGCATTGTTGAAGCATCAACAGTACATATATAAACACCAAAGAGAGTAACACAATAAAAAAATAATAATAATAATAACAATAATAATAAAGCACAAAAGCACACATCTGCCGTTTGCTGTGTGACAGTGACAGGACAGAAGAAAAACATTGTTTCTTTGCTTGTGCTGTGGGTGTCATAAGAAACATAAAACTATTTGACGGCTTCATTGGTCATATTCAACTTATCAAGTCAGGAGGTTTTTGTTTTTTTGCTTTTGACAGTAGTAATGAGGAACTAACAGGTAACCAGACCCCAAACCTAAAATCTGTATAAACCACCTGCTGCTGAAAGCCACTTGTTAACTTGATTTGGATTTGATGTTTGATTACTCTTTAACTGTTCAAATTTTTAATAGTGTTTCTCATTTGTTATCATAGTTTGATTTACACCTGGGGCAGAGAGTTAGTGTATTTGCCTGCAATTAAGTAACTCGTAGGACAGAAATCCAGCAGTCCAACCGTTACAAAAGAAAACGGATTACATATAACATTGAATTAAAAACTTCAAAATTGATTCCCTTCTTGATTTCAGATTCTTCAACAGATATGAGAAGAGGCAGAGGGCGGTAGAAGAGTGACCACCCCCATCACACCTTCAACATTCATTCCCAGTGAGTTGATACGAAATTCAGCATGATCCTAATAATCTGGAATGTACTGTGTATAGCAAACGTCTTGTGAGATGCTTGTATTGAGTAGTTATGGTTATGGAAATTATGGTTTTCTTGTCTTGACTCGTGGGGGTTTCATTTTTCTCATAGCATGGCCAGGCCCAGTGCACCCACAGTGATCAGCAGAGCTATAAGGGAGAATGGGAGAACAGAAGAACAATTATTAGGCATTGTACAAACTTTGCTCTTCTAAAGAAGACACTAACGTTTCAGATACACATTTAACAAGACTAGGTCAAAATCTAGTATGTGGCTGGACCGCGTATGGTCAGTGATTGAGGATGAACTGTTTCAGCCCTTCATCTGTTTGCTTTTATCCTACTATCTGTGCTCACATATACAGTATTTTAATACAGCTGAGTTCCCAATAAAGCTATTCTCATTTACATGTATTCTTTTTCTGTTGCTGACCACTGTAACTTGATCACTCAGTCAGTCAGTCAGTCAGGGACATTTGCACTTATAGGGCTGTCCCCTGCTGTGGTGCTCCAGCCAAAAACCACCTTATCTCTTATGCTTACCCTGCGTTAGTGATTGGTGGAATGTGATGCCGTGATTAGCGGTAGTGGTGGGGGCGGCGGTGGTGGCGGTGGTGGTGGTGGTAATTTGATTGTTGACGGTGGCATTAACATTTGTCAGGTCTACAACAGGGCTCCTAAATCGGGTGGTGGGGCTTCCCAGATCACCAGATGCTGAGAGAAGAAGCAAAAGACAGAAAAATCACTGACATGTTTTTATTCCTTGGGAAAATATTAATACATTATCTGTGATAGTCTCTGTGAAAGTTAACTGTTGAAAGTGCAGTGTGAATGTTTATCTTTTAATGTTAACTTACTCGCGTTGAAAGGTCCATCGCTCAGTGAGATTGCGAAACCTGTTGTTCTAGTTGTTGGGCTTGGTAGAGTGGCAGAAAATGTGCACTGGATTCTTCGTCCATTGACTCTGCCCCTCACAGAGTTCACGTTCAGCTGCAGAGCAAAAGAAGGATGATGAGAAGGCAATGAGTATTCAATGGTCTGTTACTGTAACCAATATGTATATACCATGCAAACAGTGATGGTTTGAATGAGTGTGTGTCTTGATATTGCCTGAGCAGCAGGTTCATAAAAGGGCACATGTGGCAATTTGTGCATATTGACTGAACCAATCAATGTTGAGTCTCTGATCAGTATTTAACTTGAAGAACCAAAAGAAAATGACATATAACTACTGACATAGAAACAGGCTTCATAACCAAACCAGATCAGCTGCAACTACTGCTGTCAATATCAATATTTTACACAAATGTTTACATTATACTTTAATTTTTAGACTTTAGATTACTTTTGCGCGTGTGCGTGTGTGTGTGTGAAAAATCCAACAAAAGAATAAAAAGTATGCAGGACTACAGGGAACGTGGGATCCTCACCCAGCTCTACCCCCACCACTGCTCTGAGGCAGGTAGCACTCACCTCTGTTGGAACCAGCTCGCCATTGTTGAGGACAGTGCTAAAGAATCTGACAGAACCGTTGTTGTTTGCACAGACGTAGGTTGTGTCGTTGTCTCCCTGTGGTGCAGAACCAGAAACAGTTTAGACAGATGACTTCAAACAAACTATGTGATTGTCTTATGGTTAGACTTGATGCTACTTTCATGGTAGTGCAAGAACTTGACATACCACTGTGGTGTCAGGTGACAGGGTGGCAGCAATGTAGCCGTCTGACTCTCCTGAGATGCTGAAGTCAAAGTTTGAGCCGCTCTGCTGTGTGGCAGCAAGGAAAAAACATGATCCTGTAGCGGATGGGTCGCACACAGCGGGCTCAGCCACACAGAGCTGTTGGGTCCCACACTCTGCCCTAGAAACATTCGTCTGCAAAGAAGATGAGAGAGATTTAAGTGGTTGGAATAATGTGCACCTTCAAATAGTTTAACACCCGAGGTGGGATAAAATCATTGTTTTGCAGTTTAGTAAGTCAGATTCAAGACCAACCAGTCCTGAGTCAAGTCCTAGTCCTAATCTTTATGCTTCAAGCCCTTTATGCACCGAGCTATTGCCATTTAAAACAAACAAAAATTATACTAAATTACAGTACTGTACACTAGTAATGAATGTCTTTTTAAATTTGTATTCACTGCTTCCAAATAACAATTAGAAACAATAACAATTAAAGGCAAGATGTTCAGGTGTTATTCCTGTAACTAAGGTTGGCACTTTATAAAATCTGAATCTAGTTTTAAATCCCATTTTAAATCCATTCGTTTTCAGATTTTAAGACTTTAACAAAAGTTAATTTAAGATTTAACGATTTGTAATTTTTGTTGATTCAGATGGCAGAAACACTACAGTGTTTTTGACGGTAGGCTATATTACATCTTGGCACTGCTATGGTATTTGTGTAGTTAAATACTTATGGGATTAATATAGATATTTTAGGCAGCTCCGTTTGATTGTGTTATGGTTTCCTTTGTCAGAGGGAAGAAGTTCTTAAGGCTGCTGTCAGACTTGCAGTGTGTTTTTCTGATTAAAGATATTGGTCCCAGTGCTTGGGCCCAGAAAAAAATACATTGACCCATTCAAGATTGGCTGTGGAAATCCCTGTTCAGGTACTATTTAAAACTGATGTAAACCTCCACTTCTGTTGGCTTACATTTCATTGAGCTCTTTTTTTTTTTTTTTTTTTTTAAATCACTCACCTCAAGAGCTTCCACTGTAATGTTAGGAGTCAGTGGGGGAACTGCTGTCATGTTGTTTAGTGCAGTTGTTGTCATGTTGTTTACTGCAGTTGTTGTCATGTTGTTTAGTGCAGTTGTTGTCATGTTGTTTACTGCAGTTGTTGTCATGTTGTTTAGTGCAGTTGTTGTCATATTGTTTACTGCTGTTGTTGTCATGTTGTTTAGTGCAGTTGTTAGTTGTTGTCATGTTGTTTACTGCAGTTGTTGTCATGTTGTTTAGTGCAGTTGTTGTCATATTGTTTACTGCTGTTGTTGTCATGTTGGTTGCTGCAGTAGTAGTGGTGGTGGGGGTGGCGGTGGTTATTTCATTGTTGACAGTGGCATTAACATTTGTCAGGTCTACAACAGGGCTCCTAAATCGGGTGGTGGGGCTTCCCAGATCACCAGATGCTGAGACAAGAAGCAAAAGACAGAAAAATCACTGACATGTTTTTATTCCTTGGGAAAATATTAATACATCATCTGTGATAGTCTCTGTGAAAGTTAACTGTTGAAAGTGCAGTGTGAATGTTTATCTTTTAATGTTAACTTACTTGTGTTGAAAGGTCCATCGCTCAGTGAGATTGAGATACCTGTTGTTCTAGTTGTTGGGCTTGGTAGAGTGGCAGAAAATGTGCACTGGATTCTTCGTCCATTGACTCTGCCCCTCACAGAGTTCACGTTCAGCTGCAGAGCAAAAGAAGGATGATGAGAAGGCAATGAGTATTCAATGGTCTGTTACTGTAACCAATATGTATATACCATGCAAACAGTGATGGTTTGAATGAGTGTGTGTCTTGATATTGCCTGAGCAGCAGGTTCATAAAAGGGCACATGTGGCAATTTGTGCATATTGACTGAACCAATCAATGTTGAGTCTCTGATCAGTATTTAACTTGAAGAACCAAAAGAAAATGACATATAACTACTGACATAGAAACAGGCTTCATAACCAAACCAGATCAGCTGCAACTACTGCTGTCAATATCAATATTTTACACAAATGTTTACATTATACTTTAATTTTTAGACTTTAGATTACTTTTGCGCGTGTGCGTGTGTGTGTGTGAAAAATCCAACAAAAGAATAAAAAGTATGCAGGACTACAGGGAACGTGGGATCCTCACCCAGCTCTACCCCCACCACTGCTCTGAGGCAGGTAGCACTCACCTCTGTTGGAACCAGCTCGCCATTGTTGAGGACAGTGCTAAAGAATCTGACAGAACCGTTGTTGTTTGCACAGACGTAGGTTGTGTCGTTGTCTCCCTGTGGTGCAGAACCAGAAACAGTTTAGACAGATGACTTCAAACAAACTATGTGATTGTCTTATGGTTAGACTTGATGCTACTTTCATGGTAGTGCAAGAACTTGACATACCACTGTGGTGTCAGGTGACAGGGTGGCAGCAATGTAGCCGTCTGACTCTCCTGAGATGCTGAAGTCAAAGTTTGAGCCGCTCTGCTGTGTGGCAGCAAGGAAAAAACATGATCCTGTAGCGGATGGGTCGCACACAGCGGGCTCAGCCACACAGAGCTGTTGGGTCCCACACTCTGCCCTAGAAACATTCGTCTGCAAAGAAGATGAGAGAGATTTAAGTGGTTGGAATAATGTGCACCTTCAAATAGTTCAACACCCGAGGTGGGATAATGATACTTTAAGGTGCAGTGTCAAGAATAACCATTCCTAGTTTTAAATCCCATCCTAAATCCATTTGTTGTCTTATATTTCGTTATGCTGTTTTTTTGCTTTTGTGTTTGTGACATCACTCACCTGAAGAGGTTCCACTGTCGTGTTAGGAGTCAGTGGGGGAGCTGGTGTCATTGTAGCTGTTGTCATGTTTCCTGCTGCTGTTGTCATGTTTACTGCAGCTGTTGTCATGTTTGTTGCTGTTGGTGTCGTGGTTGGTGCTACAGTTGTTGTCATGTTTGTTGTTGCCACCGTCGGGGTTGGTGCTACAGTTGTTGTCATGTTTGTTGTTGTCACCGTCGGGGTTGGTGCTACAGTTGTTGTCATGCTTGCTGTTGTTGCCACCGTCGGGGTTGGTGCTACAGTTGTTGTCATGCTTGCTGTTGTTGCCGTCGTGGTTGGTGCTACAGTTGTTGTCATGCTTGTTGCTGTTGGTGTCGGGGTTGGTGCTACAGTTGTTGTCATGCTTGTTGTTGCCACCGTCGGGGTTGGTGCTACAGTTGTTGTCATGCTTGCTGTTGTTGCTGTCGTGGTTGGTGCTACAGTTGTTGTTACTTGAGCATAGGTGTTCATAAACATGCAGGACAGCGTCACAAAAAGAACGGTGAAGAGCAGTGTCTTGTCCATGCCTAGAATAGATAGGATAAGATTATTCAGTGTATCAATATAATGAGACAATTCAGCAGATATATAGAATTCTACAGATAGTTGTGTGGTAACAAAGATCGTATCAGGTGAGAAAATATTTAAGTGTAATATTTTAGTAAATATAGTACACAGTAACCACAATTTATAAGTGATAGGCTGTTGTGAACTACTATTGATTTATGGTGGACAAGGCACGTAGGTTAGAAATTTTGACTAACTATATCTTATCAATTTCCAGCAAGAAAGCTACAAAAACAGTTTAGTCCAGGACTTTGCTATTGTGAAAGAAGTAATGCCTATATTCTTTATTTACTTATGTTTATTTGTGACAATAAGTTTTTCAAACTGTGTAGTCTTGAGACCAGGATTTGGTCTCCTTGTGTTGTGTTCTGGAGTTATTTTGAGTAACTTTCTTCATATGGGTTAAGATGTTAAAGGTTGTATTAGCTTTTGTTTTGTTTTTTATAAAGATGTAAATTCATATGAGTGTAACGTAATTCCCAGTCTGGCTGGTATATTTGTGGAATGTCAGATCACTAATGATGTGGCACCTTTATTTCAGAGGTGAAATAATAATACAGAAAAACTGTATTTTTGCAGGTTGCTCAGCAATACAGTTCACTCCTGTTCAAAACAACAGCATGGCTGCTTGTATTAACTCTGAGAATGAATCACATTACATTTGCTAATTATCCTACATTATGGGGCAGGCTACACCTCCTAAAGAACACGTACAGTATACACATAGTGTACCTAATTTTCATACCTATTTTGAGCCAATTTTTTTTTTTTTTCTTTCTTGAAGATATATTCTCTTAAAATGCCAATAGAGTGCAAACAGGTAGAATGTTTTAACTATATGATATAATGCAGTTCTAGTAAAACAAACAAACAAACCTTTATAGATTGTAGGTCATATCAGCAACTCCTATTCCTATATCATTAAGGTGAAGATTTATTCTAATAAAACTGTTCAGTGTGTAAACCAATATTTTAACAATATTTAACAGGAATGTATTTCCATTAACACACGAACACATCACATCTAGCATGTAATTTATCTTAATGTGGTTTTTGTGAATGGAAAAAGATTTAAATCATAATTTAACATAAGCTATATATGAAATCATACTTTTCTTATCCTTTACTTAACGAACAATACTTTTATTTTAATTTTAATTATATACCATTTTTAATAGCTGTTAATAATTAATTCAAATAACTGAAATTATCATTAGAAGGATTTGCAGATTTAATGTAATTATTGACTTTTAAAAGTCAATAGAAAAGAAAAGCTTTAAGAACAAATAATTACAAATGATAATTAATTAGGCTAAGTGGGATTCGAAAAGAAACATGTATTCCATTGATTACATGTATACCATATGGTATTCTACAGGAGAATTTCAAAATTACATAATAATAATACTAATACTAATACTAATAATAATAATAATAATAATAATAATGATACACATAACAATGTGCCTACCTGTAGGTCTTCTTGTCCTCAGTTGAAAAGATAGATAAAACTGGGTTAATCAGCCAAAGGAAGGGCGGTCCTGTGTAGTTTTATTCTCAGGTGTGTTTTACAGGTAGACCGCTCTGATGTTCCTCCTCCGAGGTTAAGATGTGACACCTGTTCACTGTGTCTCACTATTTAAACTGAAGGGGGTGTGGAGAGTCAAGGCATCAGGACCAAAAAACTATGACATCATGGATGATGTTTCCAGAGGGTAGGGTTAGGAATAAAGGCTTGAGGGCATGTGTCATAGAAACCACACGTGGATTTTGCCATGTCACTGCACATTGGACCTTATTTGTTTTTGTTTGTTTTTTCTAAATGCATTACTTCCTTGAGGCCTCACAATGCCCATAACCAACATGATTTACCTTTACCCATAAGGAAACACTGTGATTACTATCTTCCTAGATGGTTGTCTTAACTCATGTAATAGTAATTTAATAGTGTAATTTTTGTTTTTATAATGACTCTATGTGAAAATATTACATACAATACTTTTGTAATCGACATAAATATGAGTGGACAGATAGGACTGGTCCAGACCAAGAGGTGAACGTTCAAATTCTCCTTTTAGGTCATTCAAAAAACAGATTGAGGTTTCAATCAAAGTGACAGAAATTGTTAGAACGTCTCAGCACGTGGGAGACTTGTGCAGTAGTGGAGACTTGTGCAGTAGTAGAGACTTGGAGTGCTCATTTAGATGTAATTAGAAAGAATTGGTGATCAGTTCGAAGCACCTGTATTCATGACCTCTCTGCCAAATGCCTTTATAAAGATGTCTTTTTTTTGTTGTGAGAGGTAACAACATGCACAACGCGAAGCATACGATTGTGTGTGAGTGCGTGCATGTGAAAAGTGGCACAGGTCACTTTGTGAAAGCAGTCATGAGACCGGTTAACACAATGCCAAGAACTGGTTTGAAAGTGGCAGTACAAGTTCGTGTGTTTGCGTCTATATCTCCATTGTGTTCTGTGGTTTCTTATGAACATTTACCCTCCCTAATTAATGAGCAGGCAAGTCCAGGCAGCTCTGAAATATCAATCTATGATCATGGACAGTGGTAGTTATTCAGGTAGCACTGCAGATTGTACACAACTGTGATCACAGGAGAGGACCTTGGTAAAATGATATTTTATTAAAGAACTCTGAAAGAAACAAACAAAAAAAAATCACTTTTATTTTTACCACCCTTAGCTTTATAATCCAGTCCAGGAATGTTATATTCCTGTTTGTTATATATAGCTCCTACTGTCACAAACCAATAATAAATTAAATGAAGCACCTTTTAAAGTTAAAATAGACAATCAAATTAAATTTGCTGTCACAATCCTAAGTTGAAGAATGTTTTCTCTTCACAGAAAGCATTCACCTCAACTATGCATCCTGTGTAGCCTGCAAGTGTAAATAGTGTAGTGACTTGTTAACCTCCAGGCAAAGGAAACGTATACTGGCATAACCTCTGCTTTTTATTTAAGTACGCAATCCTCATCTTGGTAATTGTACAGTAGAAACTGTGAAAACTTATGTCTTTTGGCTGCAGAATAAGCCACCACCCTTAAAGCTGCTTAACTTCCATCTTTTAAACTGTTTTCTGCCACAGGGCTTTTCTGTGAGCCTCATTCTTTTAGTAGAAAATCAACATTTTTTTTCCATATTTTCCTTCAACTGATGACGTTACTTTTGTATTTGATTATCCCCATTTTTTTTTCCAACAAAGTATAGAAAATCAGGTGTGCTTACATTTTAAGTTTAGGTGAGGAAGTATTTAGTTTTCCTGGTTCAACATATTGCCCAACCTCCTGCACTTTGGAAAATCTCTGATGATAACAGCCTGTTAGTGATAAACACTGGAATATAAGTGCAACATGAAATAACATAAAACAGTGACTAATTAGATTATATTGCTTGATGATAATATATGTATGTGAATATGTAGTGAAAGTTTAATTGAGGAAAAGAATGTTTGGAAATATGATTCAAGAATACACAATGGCCCAGACTGTGAGTCACATTGTCACATGAAAGTCTCAGTTATGGCCTTGCTGTGTTAAACCTGTTTGGTTGGCATGGTAGCTGAGGTTTTCTGTTCTCATGAAACCAGTCTTGGTTTGTTTTAGCCTCATATTCATGTGGTGTATCAGAAAGTGAGTCAGTGCTATATATGGATTTTTAAAATGAACTTTATGTTATGATTTCTTAGTCATCTGATTGTAGGCTGATTTGATAAAGGTAGAAAGTTGTGTTACCCATAGAAATTTAATTCCTGTGGATCACCTGTTAGTTATTTTTTTTATTTTTGCCAGTTTCCAAAGCAGAAAACTGCGAATTTTAAAAAAGGAACAGATCACTTTAAACTTAGTTTGTGTTGTTAAGGTGTTGTTTTGTGCTGTATGGTGTTGTTTAAGCCATCATAATGCACGTGGTAGAGGTGTTAAGACCAACAGGTGTGTCAGCTGATGGCTCATTAAAGTAATTTACGGTCAGAGTCAATTATTTCTAGTTTCTGTAGTGAAGAAACGAAACGTCATTGAACTGGCTGCCGGCAAGAGGATGCTCTCAGGGATGAATCTGTTCCTAAAGGGTCCATTCACATCAACACTGTACCAAAGAGTATAGCATAACCTCCATTTCTCTCACCTCACTTGATGGAGATCAGCTCATTAGGTTGCCTTAAGGTGGAATTAAAGTTCAGCACCAGAATTCATGCAGTACTAACGCTGCCTCTTCCTGTGCACGTATACAGCATTGTTTGTAGGGTCCCATTTCTTTTGAGGATTCTCCTGCTACTGCTCCATGTTTTTTCAATCAGTAATAAAAATAATAATTATACTAACTATCCCCAACCAGGCAATGTGTGCGTAGACGACCTTCAGTGCAGATTCTCTCAGTTTCCCTCTACAACCTGTGAGGGACATTAGGTAGATTGTAGCACTTTGCTGACACTGAATTGATGAAGACACAAGCCGTCTGTTTACAATGTGCTTACTTACATCCACAAGTCTAAGACTAAATGCAAATAGGACATACCAAATATTTACCTACTCTTTCTACCCAAACAGTACTGCTGCAGTCTGTGACGAATGGTGGTACACCTTCAAGTAGTATATACACTCCAAGCACTTTGTTAGGAACACCTGTACACCTGCCTATTCATACAATTATCCAATTAACCAATCATGTGGTAGCAATGAAACGCATGAAATCATGGAGATGCAGGTCCGGAGCTTCAGTTAATGTTCATATCCAACCACAGTGGCTTTGATCGTGGCATGATTGTCATTGGTGTGAGTATTTTCTGAAACGTACACACACGAGTCTCTAGTTTACTCAGAAAACCAAAAAGCATCCAGTGAGCAGCAGTTCTGTGAACGGAGATACCTTGCTGATAAGAGAGGTCAGACTGGTTGGAGGTGACAGAAAGGTTATAGTAACTCAAGGCAGATGAGTATGAAGGTAAAAAATGCAAGAGGGTGTGGGATACAATCTAACAACTTTAATTAGTCACACAAAAAGAAAAAAAAAGAAAAAGAAAAAATAAGTGTGAAAGTAAAAGAAATCCAGAACACACATATGTAGTGTTAGGGTTACTTTTAAGTTGAAGGTCGGGGTTAAATATTCCCCGTAGTAGAAAGTAAATATATGAATAAATAAATATTTTAATCTGACCAGCAGAGTAAAGTTTTGTCCCCTGAGGGTTAATTGTAAACATTAAAGACTATTCAAACTTGACTATTTCATTACTCCCATCATGGCCATACCGCACTAGGGTTGGGCATGACGTATTAGAACAGGTTTAACTGATACTTTTGTGCTGCCAAGTTTATGTAAGGTTGCTTTTCATTTTGTTTGATGTTTTCATTAAAACCATTTTTTTTTCCGTTTTCCGTTTTCGTGTTTTGTTTCAAGATATCTGCACTTATTTCTTAAAAATCTAAACAAGTCAAACAAGTTGATTTGTAAGAGACACAGGTTGAAGACAGTTTTATTGCACTGGCAATTATAAGATTGTTTTCACAGATATTGTTAAATTATTATACGCATTGGCTGCAGTTTACAAACTATACTTTATATCCCATTGATTCTGAGGCAAAATAAAAACACTGTAATGCAACAAACAACATTAGTCAGAACATTTGGTGCAGTATTAAAGTTTTACTTCTTGAAAATCTTGGTTACAGAGTCGGCGCTGTTAGTACTGATTATGATGCAATCAGTCAGTCTAAGTAGTAAAAACTCCTCAACACAGCGTGACAGGTGGGAACATTACTAGTCACAAACATGCGAATCGCACTTGTCCATCTTGGAAGCTTGAGCAGGATTCTGAGTGCGTCATTAAATGCCACCTAAAGCTTTTACATTTTTGTTTTTGTGTAACTGCACCACATTGTTGTCATCACACATATCATCCCTGATGATGTGACAGAAGTACCTTACTTACTTGCACTACCTTTAGCACTTGGTCTGCCATTAAGAGTGATGAACAATTTTCTTCTACTTTTAATAATCATGATAACACTCTTTTTAGAGATAAACTTAATGTGATACTGTGCACCATAGCTTGAGCATACTCTGAGCAGTTGCTGTAAGCCAGCACTTTAAGGAGACAGGACGATGAGATCATCAGCGTGCACCAGATGGTTAATGAAACTAGCTTGTTTGGCCATTGGTATAAAAGCTATTGTACTCTGTGTTGTTGAAAGTTTCTGTAGTTGCCCTCACTGCCACCTTGTTCGTACTTTCTGTTCAGGCCACTTTTGCTGCTCATCATAAAGCACCTCCGGCTGTGTGCCAGAGATGAGGAAAAGCAGAGGAATTATTTATGAACATCATTATGCTCATGCAGCTTTAACTCTCGTTGTTACTCATTACTTGCATGTAATATGTAAAATACCAGTTTATTGATGAAGTTGTTACACCTGCTGCTCTGAACAGTTATTTGATAAACGTCCACAGATTTGTGACGTGTGACAGATTGCTCTTCATCGCAGTACTTCCTGATTGTGTTGTCAGTGTTGTCTTGTTTGCTCAAGGCTGGTTTCAGGAAAAATTTGTCCACAAAAATCCAGCTCTGCAACATTCTGCTGAGTTTCCGTGCAGGAACTGAAAAGTAACAGCAGACTTACGGCATCTTCCAGTGTTTCTCTTTCTATTTTACCTCACTTTGTCTCTCAGTTGCCCTGAGAGTATAGCATAACCTCCATTTCCAGTCTTGGCGAACCTGTCAGTGTCATTAATGGCATGTGTAAGCCAGATCTAACCACATGTGTTTTGGAATTTATTCATTGACGCAAACAAATGGGAAACCACAAAAAAAAAAAACCAACTACACAAAGCTGGCGGGTCAATGGGAACAAATTATGTAAAACATTTTATTGAAGCAGTTTTAGAGAGGTGTTGATTCAGCTGATCGTTTTGGACGATGTAGTTTGTGCTGCTGATGAATTGCGTTATACGAAAAAGTGTTTCTATTATTTGTTCGCCAACTCTCATTGATATAAATGAATCTTCATGAAGGGTTAATTATAACAGGACTGTTGTGTTATACTGCATTGGTTTTTAGCTAGGTGTACTTATTAACCTGCCAGCGCAGCTTAGTGCTAAACATTAGTTCCTCCATGCAGACTTCCTTTTTTTTCTAAAGCCCATGTCACACAGCACTTGTTGACTTTTGTGAAGGGTAAATAAATTGTTCCAGCACATCCGTGTTCTCAAGGACCAGAGAGGTGTTTACTTAAGAGCAGCAAGGCGTGAGAGAAGTCACCATCAAGTGAGGACAAAAGACCTGTCTAAATCTTTATGGTAGTCATTAACAGTTAATTAACTTAATTAAGAGTTAATGGAACTGACTTAAGCTTTTGTCTGTATCTAAAATGTACTAAAATGACTTTAAAACATGAGTGAACTCAATGGTCCTTTTTGTCTCTGAATGGCAAGATACTTAAACTTAGTGCACACTGCTTTACTCTGCTGTTCATTACTTAAAACAAGAATACATTTATTTGTAAAAAGTACTTATTACTAAAACTACATTTATGGGCAGACAGTGAAGGTTTAAGTTTTTAACTTCACCATTTAAGATAAATATTAAAATAAAATCACTTGTTTTTTAACATTTGTAAAAATGAAGAGATTGATAGCAGGTTTCGTACGTCATAAATTAGTCTTTTCAATACATGTAGCCAAGATTTAATCATGCATGCATTTTTTTTTCAGTGCGGTATGAAGTGGTAATTAGGTTTCATTTGATCTTCTGTTATCTTTTATTCTTCCATCCATCAGGGTAACTATCTGGTTTTGGATGCAAATGTTACAGCGGTTTGTCTTGAACAAACACTTTGGCTTAAGGGTTTCTCTCTTCAAGTCAGAAGACTTTAGGTGTGCTCAGGAATTTTTCTGTTCTGCTTCTTTCTGTTTTTTTTGCCTTCCTCTTGTTCAGCTGTTGAACGCCTGCTGCTCTTATCGCAGCTCTGCTAATACTATTATGATGAAACCAGCTGCTACTGCAACTAATACCACTGGTTCCACTACAGATGTGAATCTGCAGTTAATGCGAATAATGCCATCACCAACGCTTAAACATTATATATACAGTATAACACTACTGCCTCTGTTATCTAGTGTTAATGGTAAATTGAAATGGTGGTGGAATCCCAATCCAAAAATAGACAGAATGAAATTTTGTTCTCGACTACTATTACTACTAATGACGTTTATTTAAAGTTGCAAAATGCTACACATAAAACAACAGATTGAAAACTGCAGTTACGAATACAGATGGTGTAAATTAGATTTAAAAAAAAAAGAAAAAAAAAAAGTAATTCAAATGAATAAGAAAAAGAAAATGATGTTTTCTTGGAAGACTCAACCTAGTTTCCTCAATGAACAAAAGTTGTTCAAATGGAAAGAATATATTCAGGTGATAAACAGGTTTGGCATCATAGATTCTACGTCAGGCTCGTTACAGTCTGCACATTACCTGTTTCCTGTAAACTGGCAGATACGCTTCACGTTGCGTCACATTAGGGGAAACATCTAGAGAAACTTGTGTTGTAGGGTTTTGGAAGTCAAGGAAGTATGATTAGTGTCTTAAATAACCGGTAAGGATATGTTGAATTTTGACATTGTGCAGATTATGCAGATATGGGCTGAAACTGAAACCAGTCTGAGTGGCGGAGGCATACAGCCATGAGGCGGTAATTGTAGTTTACTGTATGTAATGAGTCATGAAGGTAGCCATTTATCATCATAAGCATCATATAAACATTTAATAAATGTTTCATAACTCAGCAGACATAAGGACATTTTAAGTGTTAATTAAAGCACAGTATTTCTCAACAATTACAACTTCTCCTGTGAGGACATATGTTATATCAATACATCTTTACTTTACTATATTATTATTCATTATCTGTTTATACAGCAGCTCTCACATTTATAACATAGTATATAGTTAATACATAGTTATTATGTTACCTTATTACTATTTCTGCTATAGAACATCTGGAAATATCTAACAGTCCTTTTTTAAGCTTCACATTTCAATCTTGCTCTCTTGGAAGGAATTCTGTTGCAGTCAGTACATATTATTCAGCCATTTACATAAAGTTAATACCCATCAAGCTGTACTGTTGTCATTGCTGGACAAAGTTTTTCCCTCATTAATGTTCTTTTATTAGTCTCAGTGCGACATGGTTCAAGAAGCGTGAAGGCCATGAAGTCACACATGCTTTTCATAGCCCAAGTTTTGGGAACACAAACACTTGTGATGTAAAATGGTTGATGATGATGGACATGAGAGATTTGATAATCTCACTGATAACCTGAGTGACTCAAACTCAAACATTACACAACAGCCAAAATATGCCCAAAGTCAACATTGTGCCCGTGGGGCAGATTGTCTTGTAACAGGTAGACATAAACACACAATCATCAATCCAACAAAGGGAGATGCATAACAAGATGCAGAAAAGAACACAGGCCATTAAACACAAATCTGATAGCAGTCTGTTCTTTATATACAGTATAAACTCATCCTGTGGCTATTACAAACACGTTGAACCACTCATTCTTGTTTATGACTAGTCTGCTTAAAAAGGCTGAATTGTGCAGTTGCTATTGAGGGAAGATATAAGCTAATTCAAGTGTTGTAATGGCACAGAACATGATTTTTTAACAATAGTGCATCTATGTTACATACATAGTTTTGGGTTCAGTAGTTAATTTGTTAAGGTCACTGTCAGATGAAGTGTATAAGTATCTGTATTGCGGCCAGCAGCTTGAGTTTGAGCTTTTTCTGAAGCACCAGTTGTCTCTGTTTTTAACAAATTTTGAATTTGTTAAAATCATTGGAATCATTGTCTTGGGTTGCGGCCGCCTACTTTTTGTGTTACCTGTCACTATGACCCTCCACCAGCTAAACTTTCCTAAGATCTCAGGCCAGTTTCAGGACCCATAATCCTATATATTGTTATTTTATCACTTACATCTGGCATCATCTACACCAACTTTACTTTATCTCACCTTGATCCATCTCTAAACTTTCTTCTTTTCAAAAGTACTTTAAAAGACTTCAAAGTACAAAAGTACTTCTTCAGCCTTTTCAGTCACTCCACTGAAACTGCAATTGACAGAACCTGTAACCTTAATAAAATTTAAATGGGTAAGTTGTATAGAAATTCACACCCTGAACAGTTGTCATGGAGGAAATTATCTATAGAGACCAAAACTGTTTTTTGTACCAGGTTGTAAACATGTTTATTTCTGCTGTAAAGTTGGGCATTTTAACATGGGGAGTCTATGGGGATTGACTTGCTTTTGGAGCCAGCCTCAAACGGCCATTCAGAGAGCTGCAGTTTTTCGTACGTTCGTGCTGGCCTAATTTCTTTAGCCTTGGAGGTTGCTGCTTGGCTAAAACAGCAAGTCATCCCATCTTTTGTTGCTCAACTTTTGTTTTTTTTCTGGCATGCACTTCAGTTGAATGATTCTCTTTAGGGACTTCCTCTTACAGAAGAAGCACATGAAGGGTTTTGGTTGTGTCCCTATTTCCTTTTCATAAAGGTGCTTGCTTTTTATTGGCTAGGTTCCAAGTTTAATAATAGTGTGTATGTAATTAACTTAAGATGAAATGGTGGATGACCGAAATGTGATAAACAGAGGAATTCACGAAAAAAGGACTTTGAGAGCCAGACACGCGGGGTTGTCTTTCAACTTTGTTGCCTTTCATGCGTGCATCACTCCCTGAGCACAAGATGATCACGTGTCATCTGCCTCTGAATCATTTGCTTCGGTTTGTTGATCTATTGAGTTCCTACCTTTCACAACAGGGGCAAGTAGCGTGATACAGAAGGGACAAGAAATTAGCAGGAAACACTTTTATTAGAAAGAAACTAAGATTAAATAAATGACAATACAGTAACTTCTGGTTTAATACATAATTAAAATGACTACTTTAAATAATATAAATATTTAAAATATATTACTACATTCTTAATTCTATTCTTAAATCACTGTTCCTTCATTCTTCAAGCTCCACAAGTTTCTTCAGATCAGACTTCCACTGCTCTTCGTCCTCTCCCTCCTCCTCTACCTCCACCTCTATCCCGTCCATGGTTTTCTGCAGCTGTTCCTTGATGCGGTTCAGCTCCAGCAGCCCGTCCTGCAGGTCCTTGCACACTTCTCGGATTTTAGCGGCAAACTCTGTCTTGGCGCCCTTCCTCAGCTCCATGGAGTCCTTCGCCAGGAAAAAGACATCCAGAGCCAGGAAGAGACCCGACATAACGCCAGTGGTGATGCTCATCACCTGGGCGGCTTTAGCGGCTCCACCCGCAACACTCAGGACCTGAACGGTATTAATCAGGCTCTCTGTGTTGATCACTAAAGCCTTGCCGGCCCGGCCGCCCTCCTTCATTACGTGTTTGACGTTCTGGTTAAGGTGCTTCTTTGAGATGCTTTCAGCGTACTTCTCAAAGTTCCACTCCTCAAGTGTCTCCATCCCTTCCTGTCAGGTAGATAAAGGATGGAAGATTTTACATCAGGGTTGAAATCCCATTTTTTCAATCAAAACTGCAGCTAGGTTTGTTGTTTGTGGTTGTTAATTCTTTAGCATAGCTGCCTAAGTACACAGATTATTTACTCTAAATACTAATTGTAATGATTATGACTGACGAGCTGAAAACCTTACCTGCAAAAACTCCAGACACTCCTTGATGTCGTTCATCTCCTCCTGGTAGTCCTGAATCATCTTCTCCACCTTCTTGCGGTCTGTCTTTGAATGAACTGTGTCTGTGATGTTGGCTGAAGCAGACGCCACCCCACCTGCTGTAGCTACACCAATGCCCACAGCTGTGACGATGAGGGAAGTTCCTGCTGTGAAGGGTGCCAGAATGAGGCCGGTGATAGTTGTGACAGACCCCGCAACACTGGCCAGACCTCCGCCGACACTGGCCGTGACTGTCTTTTTATGAAAGCTGTCGGCTGAATCAGCCAAGGCCAGGAGCTCAAGGATTCGCTGCTGGAGTGAGGCGCCGCGCTGGTTGAAAAAGCGAACAAAAAGACGAGCCGCCATGAAGACACGATCAGCTGCTTGTTCAACCACTCTGAGACAAGGAAACAAGGAAAAGATGTCACAAGAGAAACATTAACATTCCAGCCCAGTATTTTGATACAGCTTAAAAAGTAGTTTTTTTCTGTTGTTATTGGCCAACACTACACTAAAGCTTTAGAAAATAATAATTCTACAAGCAAACTGATAACTTCACTAAATATTTACTTACTCTTCAGCTTCATCATTCTGGTTTGCCTCATTCCACTCATCCCATCCTAACGGACAGAAAAACAAACAAATACAACTACAAAGTCTCAACTGCAACGAACAGGATCACCAATAATTAACAAAATATATCAATATCAAGCATACCTTCTACTGTTCTCCACCACGTCAAAAGCCCTTCTTCATCCTGGAAATGAACAATTGGAATTAATTTTTTTTTTTTGTGCAGCATCATATGATGCAATGTTATAAGTCATAAAAATGAACATACGTCTAGAGGGTCCAGGACCGTTCCTTCAGCCATTTGCAGCGTCTGAACTTCAACGGCCTCCTACAACAGAGACGTGCCACACACTGTTCACAGTTTGTTGGACTGAATTTCTAATGAGCTGTTAGAGAATTATTAGTCTGACAATCCCACCTTGCTGCCATGTAACAGTTTAAGCTTTTCACCTCGTTACATCTTGTGTCCAATGTTCAAGATGCAACAATTCTTTCCTGCCATAAAACATTTCCAATGTATACACCTAACTGGCTCAATAGGCAATATAAAAATGTAACTATGCAGTTATTTTGGCCAAAATGATCCTGTATACAACATGGAGGAAAAGTGTTTTCATTTTCTTTTTCTTTCCCAGAAAAATAAAAAAAAGGGTTTCCTTATCACCTCCCAGGGTGAAATACCTTGTGTTTAGTCTACAGCAGGCTCCTCAGGCTTGTCCTAATTGGGATAGAATTTATAGTAATAACTTAACTATTGACATTTTGTAATATTAAAGAGAAAAAAAATAGGACATCCAAGAACCAGGTGTGACATACACAATCTAGTTCTGGTATGAAGCTACTCCACACAGGCTACTGGCAGAGAGGCCATAGAGGCATATACGGCAACTGCAACCACAAACTGTTCCAGACTGAATCACCAATTTCTGGTAAGGGCACCTACATTTTTGTCTACATCAAATCGAATGTAGGCTACAGTGGCTTTAGCAGGTAGATTATTATGACGTACATTTAATTTTCTATTGTACTTAATTATTTGATCACTTAATTGCTAATTTGCTTGTGTTGTCATGTGATAGGAAGATGCACCTGCGAACAGGAAATGAAGATAGATATGGGAAAATCAGCGAGAGAATTCACCTGAGAAACCACAGGCTGCGTGTGATGGTGAGGTTTAAACAGGACCAAATTAAGTGGAACAACTCACAGACCAGAGTTAATCTAAATATATTCCAATGAAAGAACTTCACTGGACGAGAGGTGACATTGGCAAATAAAGGCTATCCTCTAACCACACACCCTTTTATAAAAAAAAAATACGATCCTGTCATCTTTATTTATTTAAGGAGTTGTATGTTTTATTAGTTAATTAGATAATACGATTGTGCAAACACATCTGCGTGCAAGATTGTGTGTGCTTGATGAGCAGCAAATGCAATCTGCACTGTGGGGAAAAACTCTACTGCTGCTCAGCTGTAGTCACTTTCAAATCTATTTTCTTAATTAAATTTGGCACTGTTTATTACTGCACTGACACTGTATATTGTGTCTACTATTGTTTTGGTGATTTCATATCATTTCATTCTACTTAAATTATTTTAATTCACTGTTATACCTTAATGTAGAGAATGGCCTCAGTGTTCAAAATGTGTTATACACACACAAAGCTGCCTTTCATACCAACCTGAGGTATTGTCTGAATGTCCGATGATGCTGTTGCAGAGTCCTGTGGAAAATAAATAACAAACATAACATTATTAAAACACACAACCATTTACAAATGATGATGAAAATGCATGACAGAGTATCTTTCTTCCAGTGCAGAAAATGTAATTTATGTTTTTACACTCAACGCAGTAGCACATGGTAAAGTACCTTTGTTCCGGATCCAAACAGTGCACTGGGCAGAATCCTCTTTATTCTGAAAGTCTGGAGAAGAAATAAAGAACACAAATATTATTCTCACATCTTATATCTCCTTGCAGTAAACGAGCAGTAACTGCAAAGTAGTAACGTACATGTGGATAACTTTTTGTAGCAGTTTTAATTCACATGCTTTGAATTTGAAACTACTTTGAATGAGACTTGACTTCATCCTGCGTTACATACATACCATAGTTTTTTTCTTTGGTGCCTCCACTGGCTGATTGTTCACCTCACCGCTGGCGGCACCGTCAGTATACCAAATAGACTGGAGAGATTATAGGGTTAGTTCTCTAACTACCTACAGTTTGACATAAAAGGTGGGGTTCACACATGGTGCACACATAGTTCAAAAATGCCTGGAATGAAGTATCAGACAAGGTCACAATCACGTCTGTGAGGCTTCAAACTGAGCCAAATTCAATGACGAGAATATATGTGTAGAATGTTTATAATTACTTGGCGAAAAGATTTACTACATGCTTGATTGACCTGTTTTCTGGAACAAAATGAATAGCTGCTTGTTGTGGTACATTTGGACATTGTGCACCTTGTCAGATGCCTCGCATTCGTCTGGCTAGACAGCATATTTGTATTGTTACCTCCAAGTATCACCATTAGTATTCATTTTACAGCAGTAAAATCAAAAGCACAATGAATGAAGAGTCAGTCACTGTTAATAGCTGTCTTATATTAATAATAATAATACATTTGGTCTATTAGATCTACGGCAAAAACGTTTGCCTAGGTTCATTTAAGGAATTGAGGGGCAAATCATCCAAGACAGTTAGGAGATGTACTTAATGTCGTACATGTCTCTCGATGGTGCTATCATCCAAGCTTTCAGAGCTGGAGGAGTCCTCACGATGAATAGCTTGATTTTCCTGATAAGACATAAGAAACAGGTGGGAGAAAAACTAAAGAGCAGCTCAGTCTTCAAATGTAAAAGAGAAAGCAAGTTTAGGTACCAACATCTTAACAGTTAAAAACTATTTACTCAAACAGATGTGATCAGCTCAAACTTCTTTAGTTGCTGGCAGCTTTTAGCCATTAAAAACTGGGCACTGTAGTTAAGAACACTGGATGAACAAACAATCTCCATCAATATGATCAATGATTAATGCAATAACACCATGCATCGGGTGTGGTTCATTTCTGAAATCATTTTATCTGATTTAAAAACTGAAACAAACATCCCCATTCCTTCCGAAAATCACTGTAACCTAAACCTGTACCTGTGTCTTGGACGAGGAGGCTGTAGTGGGAACCGCAGAGTCTGTCTGACATTCATCTGCTGGCATCTGTATGACAACACAACAGTGGGTAACCAGTTACTATAGACCATACTGACTCATCAGAAGCAGCTTTCTAACGGTCAATCCATTTGAAATGTCTCACAAAGCTGTTTATGAACTGTGTCCCTTAAGTTAGGCTTTTCTAAGCTGACTTAATATACAATTAGAAAAACTTAAGTTGACAAAAGGTAAGAAGTTTATATCTTTTTACAGTACCTGTGTGTAAGACTTGAAGGGGTTCACTTTCTGCATCATCCCTTTGAACATACCGGGGTTCTAAAATAAATACAAAAGTTACACAAACACAGGAAAAAGGTGAAGTCCATACATGTATTCATCACGAGATGAGGTGGGAAAACAGTAAATACAAATGTGTTTACAATCCCACAATGCAACATTTTTATAGATGTGAAAATCACTGTTGCATAACTCAACAGCTGACACTGATAACACGAAATGGTGACGAATCAGGGTCTGAAATCACAGTTGTCTGCTCACTATGGAGTAAACTAAGTATAGAATGGCGATCATATAGGGAGTGGTGAATGAAGGGCTTAGTTTGGACACTTTCCTTTGGCACCATCTGGTGGTAGCAGAGAGTATGACAGTGATGAAGGATCACTGAGAATTTCATGTGTACGACATTTTACAAAATGCTGTTCTGATCATTTATAGAGCCAGACACATAAATTGAGCAAACATTCCTATTTGAAGGTCCCTGAATCTGTCACTAGGCATTAACACCTTAGACCAAGTCAAACATCCCATGAACTCCCAAATCAGCAATGTAAAACATGACTGAACCTTTTTAGAAGGTAAATGTAAATGTCTGTCATCTCTTTAAGACCTTCGCACTTTCTGTTGAAGAAAGGCCCTGTGTCTTACTGAATGTAATCAGTTCAGACATGAATCTAATCTGAAGGCTACGGGTAGCCATCTATCACAGGTATAAGACAAGAATATAATGTTACAGCTTATTTTTATTTTGCCTGACTCCTTAATGTTCAGTTGGCTTCTGCTTTTTTTGACATAGTGCTTGAACAGATTTACCTGTTTCTCTGGCAAGTTATCATTGTCTGCTAAGCTTCCACTGCTGGAGGAAAGGTCATTGTGTAGAGGCCGTGTGTCCTGGATCACATGCAAGTAAGAAAAAAAAAAAAAAAACGAAGTGAGAAAAGTGAAGATGTACAGAGCAATTTTTTAGTTAATTTCAAGTCATTGTCATCATTATTACAGCAGGTACCTTTGGCTGTGAGGATTTGAATGGGTTCACTTTCTGCATCATTCCTGCGATCATCCCTGGATTCTAAATAATAAAAACATCAATTGGGCAATTTAAGTCTAAGCATGACATCTTAAACTAATCCTAATACCATATGATCAAGCCACACATTAACAAATGTCAGTGGGACTTTTAGACCAGTGGATTATGCAGTTGAAGATGCAATATACCTGTTTGGCCTGAAGTTCTTTTCCAGTCTCTTGTGGATCTACACAATCCTGTTGAGGATCACTCTTTGGCACCTACAGCCAAGACAGGAGTCGTGATGAAAAAAGATGCTCAAAATAAAACAATCAATTTTTTTTTTTTTTGCAGTATTGTCTGACCTTTAATTCCTTTAAGTAAAACTACCTCTTTAGAAAAATTCAATCTCTGGAAAAATGAACAATGGACAAAGAAAATACAAGTAGCAGGGCTTTTAGACTAGACTAGATATAGGCACCTCACATCTGACTCAGTTTTGAGAATTGTGTTTTTTGATCCTTCAAGGTCAATCAAGGTAGTGGTGAGGTAACATATAATGTCATCTTTTTTTCTTTTTACTTAATCACTGCATCACAATAACTTATCCATTAGTCCTAATCAAAAGGCTAGCTCTTCAGTCACATCTTTAAAATCAGTTTTCCCTGACACTTGCCATATAAAATTATTTACAGAGGCAGTACCTGTGTGGAAGACTTGAAGGGATTGACCTTCTGAATTACTCCTTTCAACATACCGGGATTCTGAAACAACAACACAAGGTCAGTCTGTGCACTACCAGGTAAAATATATTGGTGTATGTAGAATTAAAATGTTTACATTACTACTTTCACTACTGTTGTGTTTTTGATTTGCATTGTCCTGTGACAACTTAATTCTTAGATGTTTAGTTTAAGTTTAATAACCTGGTGAACATGGAGGGTTGTGAAGCTTTTTAGATAGTCTAAATATATGTAGAAGACTCTGGATAAGGGAGATCGAAGTCTCAAATCACAATCTTTTACCCACCTGATTAGAGTCTGAAACCTGCCCCTGCTCCAGAGACTCTGAAGATGGAGCTTTAGAGACCTGTGTAAGAAAAACCAGCTGAGTAGATACCCCATTGTCTCACGCAGATCATCTCATCATAACCATTGTGACTTGCAGACAATGCTGTGGTTACCTGGGAGGTAGATTTGAATGGGTTGACCTTCTGCATGACCCCTTTCAGCATACCAGGGTTCTGAAATACAAGTTTCAAAAGACAAATTTATAATAGCACGTTTCTGTTTCCCATTTTTCTATTGCACGAAACTTAATAAAGAGGTTTCCTGATTTACACATATTTTTTGATACGTTGATGTCAATGTGTTGGTTTTACTGTGAAAAACCAGAGTTTGGCACTTTGTGGGTAACGGTAGGCAAAATGTCTTTCCGCATCAGTGATAAAAATAATTGCTGTATAAGTTATATTTGAGTTCCTCTCACCTGTGAGGAGTTTGTCCCCTGTTCTAGTGACTCTGAAGAGGGAGCTTTGCTGACTGTGGAGGCGACCTTAATAAAGCACCAACATTAACCATATGATCTCATTTGAAGAACTCAAAACTGTTACTAAAACCTCAAAAACATTTTTACCTGTGTGGTAGACTTGAAGGGATTGACCTTCTGCATAACTCCCATCACCCCAGTCCTCTGAAGTTTGTGACAAAATATACATCAGTTGATGAAAATGCACCAGATTCATTGACTATGTCCAAATAGTTTTTTTCAGATAAACACCATTAATGAACCATGGGAAATTGCCACACATAAGATTTGTAAAAAATAACCTCTGACATGATGTGTCAGAGGCAAACCAAAAGAATTAGGTAAGGTCAAGTGGTCAAGATGATATTACAAAGTCATGACTTGTTCTCACCTTGGCCTTTGGGTTTAGCTCATTTGTAACCTCATTATTGTTTTCCTACAACAAATAATAACAGTCAAAAATGTGAAGAGACTGGCTTGTGGCTGTATTTTTACATTCCAGTGTTAACATTTACCTGCGAGGATGCGGTCATTCCTGCATCCTGCCTGTTCAGGCTGTGTGTGATGGGATTGTCTAGATCCTATAGATGAATAATGGCCTCAATGAATGGCACAAACACACATAAACAAAGTATCCCACTAACTTTCACCACTGTCATTGTCTACATACCTCCTTGTTGGGTCTTGGGGGGACTGCTGGAGTTTGTACTGTAGAGCCTTTATCTCTTTTGAACATGTTCATGCTAAAATACACAGTGTTTTAAAATATCAGGAGGTGAGGAGAAAAGAAAACACGTCTTTCAATACACATAAACTGCCAACCACAGAGGAAATGGTATGTTTTTCAGCACATTAATGTTTTAAAGCTGTCAAAAGTTGACCACTTTTCTAGATAGACCCACAAACCAAACTCCGTTCAAAAAATTAACAATTTAAGGTTCTACGCGCAATGGTGCACCCGAGAAACGAGTCGTTAATTATGTTTTATGTTTTTGTGGAAACCTAGGTTTTACTGAAAACATCGGTTTAAATCCCATCCACCACACAGCACTTTTTTTTTTTTTTTTAGTAATAAGATACTTTATTTGTCGCCTCACTTACAAGCGCCCACCCTTTCCTTGCCCAAGTGTGAAATCGGAGCTAGCTAATAACAGAAGTGAAAATATATAGGTACGAATTAGTTTTTGGTAAACACGAATTAGACGAATTGAAACCGGTCTTCAAATGAGTGGGGTAACAAGTTATGAAGTCGCTTTCTGCAAAGTGTACATTCGCAGAGAGCAACAAACCTTTAAATATGAAGACGTTTGAACGTAGTTTGGCTTGTGTTGGCCGGTGTTGTTCTCACTCCAAAACAACGTCGAATTTAGTGCCGGACAGGAGCGTACATTGTATCGGCCACTACAAAGGAATGTTTGACAACACAAACGCCAGCACCACACAATGAAATGAGCAGGCTGCCTACCTCAGTGTCGAGCCAGGAATAGAAAATGACAACAAAAAAACAAAAACCCACCGGGTTGCAAAGCAACACAAGAGTAGCCTAAACGAGTTTTTAAAAAGTTGTGCAGCTCAGTCCTTCACTTCCCCTTCAGGACTCAGAGAAGTCAAACCGGTTTGGCGACAACTGAGGCGGACCGCATTAGAGTTGGATTACAAAAGTATAATGTGACTTGTTTGCTCTGATTTCAGGGAAAGTTTAAAAAGCGAACAATGAACGGGCAGGGGGCGTTAAAGGGCGAGTGCTCCACATACACCCAAATAGTTTGAGAAACTACCGCCCTTTGATAGATCACCTGTGTTACCTGTATTGGGGCGTGGCCTGTTTGCTCTGCGACTTCTTTTGTTCGATTGTTTTTTAAATTATTTATGTTTTATTTTTTTATACTGAGGCTTTTACCTATTTCAAACTTTTCATATAAATTTCCTGTCAAACAATGTATTTAAAATGGTATATTGGTAACTTTGATATTTACAAATTTAATAAATGGTTCAAATCAAAACAGCGTGGAAGCAAAAAAAAAAGAAAGAAAAAAGAAATTGGGTATTAATCTTGACTTTAATTGAATTTGTGAATCCTTAGACATACTTAAGGAAAATCTGGACATTCAAAAAGGGAACAGTCTACATAACAGATTCAGATAGATGATTTTCAAAGTGAAATATTAGTATTTAAATTTCAGTATTATTTATTTAATAATAATTCAATTTCACAGTGGCTTATATGATTCTCATTATTGCAGTTGTTACTTGCTTCCATAAAATATAAAATATCTGGATAGTTTGAATTGTAGGATAAACATATACAACACTGAGGTTAAGATAAAATATCATATACCAAAAAAGAGTATCTTAAGACTTTCACATGCACCGACAGTGATACACAGACAAAACAAAGACGTGGTCATTGACTATTTGCCAATCAACATATACAGTGATAGAAATCTTTCTGTATTCACAACATATCAACATATGAATAGTTAGCTTTTCTTTGACAGTTAAATAAAAACTCCATGAAGGCACGTACAGGTTAAACTAATTAAGGCAGGCATATTGTAACAGTATTTACACATATACACAAACACATTTACTTGCAGGTCACATGATATGACCAAAAATGTCTCCCAGTTTTTCTATAGAAACTAGATAGTGGAAAAATAAAATGGATTCTGCATACAGCTAAACTGTGCACAACTGTTCTCCATAAACCAATATAAAAATGACAGCCAGTGTGATTTTTTTTGTGCAGTAATTTTACATGGTGACATGTTCCTTTAAATACAGAAATACGTTACCAATAGACCTGCAACAAAAAGGTGTAACAAATTATTGAAGCCTTGGCTGATGTGCCAGCAAACTACAAACTACAGCTTCAACAGTGGCCAACAAGTTTATTCAACACTGACACAGTCGGTAAGAAAACCTAATGAGCTTTAAAAATTGTTACTGCAGGACTATAGGGCTGTAAAAAATATTTGTTATATTGTCCACCCCTTGCACACCAACATTAAAAAAATCATTAGCGTAGGGAAGTAATGCCATACAGTGATGTGTTAAAAATAAATTACCTTATATGCAACATTAATTTTATTTTTATATCGGGCAATGTCACACTTTCTCTTTGAAGAAGAAACACTTAAAATATGATTTATTATTTATCCCCATAGTCCAGTCATAAACTAACTACAGTTACTTTATTTAACAAATAAAATTTTTATCAAGATGGCAATTTTAGCAACACACTCAAATCTTGCAAAGGCTTTTTTTTCCAAACTGATATCCAATATACGGATTGAATATAATAATACTACTTAATACATTATCCATAAAATAAATACTACCTTTGTGAATTTATATAGATTTTGTTGGGACTGTGTCAGAAAAGTGTTATGAAACTCAGTCATGGATTTGTGGTTTTGTGCTCTATGGGACTGCACTGTATTGGAAGGTGATGTTTACAACTTTGTGCTCATCGTGCATACAACAGGTGGACAAATTAAACTGGTAGTCATTTAAAAATGTACCCATCTGTGACCACAATGCTATATTCTGCTACACCTCATATATACACCCATTACCACAGAACAATATACACACAGTGCACCAATTAAAGTCTCCCGGTTAAACATTTTACAATATAATACAAATACGACAAAAAAAATCTACAGCCTCAGAGTTGAATTAACACCTCTCTGCCAATATCACAACAAAAGTGACCGTTATAAGCTTCACATTATTGCAGTCAACTGGAATATACTGTCAGCTGTGTACATATCCAGAGTCTGCTGTATTCAGCATTGTTAAAAAGAAATTCCTGGTAACATGAATTCCTCTATACTGACAGTTCCCTTATTTAGCCAGGAGGGGGCGATGGTGAACTTTGAGAAATAACTGTGCTCAAAGAGGCATCATGCACAATGTTGCTCACAAGTTTCCTGTAGCATCCTGTAGCTCCTCTCTGATGGTGTTGAGTTCCACTATTGTGTCATTCAGCCCATTTGCCACATCCTTTATTTGACACACCATCTCTTTCTTGCAGCTTTTCTTCAGCTCCCGGGACTCCTTGATGAAGTACTTGTCCATGCCTTTGAAGAGTCGTTGGACTGAAGCTAAAGCTTCGTCTGTTACCTCAGTTGCTCGCATCACTGGGGGGTCGACTAAGCTGATAATCTGCACGGCCCTACGGATCTCCCAGTCCTCTGAGTAGTGTTGGGTGCCAGACCTGAGGAAGGGGTGGCCACGAAGTTTGTACAAGCCCTGATTGACAAAGTGCAGGACCTTCCCAATGTCCAGCAGGTGAGCCTCATACTCCTTCAGTACTGTCTCCACCTAGTGAAGGAGAAGGAAAGACCATGATCTTGGGTTGAACATTGAAAAAGTCGATGGTAAGTTGAAGCATGTGATGAGACTGGGTGCTCTCGTTTCAAAGTCAAGATCTTTTAACTTTTTGCAGCATTATAAAAATGTCACACTACTTCCTACATTTAACTTAAGGACTGCACGAGAACATATCTAAGGTAAGTTAACTGCATATGAACAACATTTTAAGGAGACATTGTAAACTTACCTTCTTCTGGTCGTGCATGTTATTAACATTATCCGAGATGGCCGCAGATGCTGAAGTGATTCCGCCAGCTGTCGCCACACCCACACCAACAGCTGTAACTACCAGAGAGGCACCAAAGGTGAAGGGTGCCAGAGCCAGACCAGTAATAGCTGCCACGCCGCCCACGGCAGTGGTGGTGCCGCCAGTGATGCCAGCGATCTTGGCTTTGTGATGGAAGTTGCTGATATCATCGGCGATAGCGTGGAGCGTAATGATGGACTGCCAGAGGACCTCAGCTCGCTCTGTGAAGACCTTGTTGAAGACACGAAGGCCGTGGTAAACCTTGTCCGCCAAGATAGTGAATGACCTAGGATTTATTTAGGAGTCAAACCAAAGATAGAGCACAGTAAGCACAGAGAAAGGAAGCAGTACATTAAAATGTGGTTCTCCATACCATCTCAAAAAACCTCTTTCGCCAAGCAGTCATCACCATGGCAGGTTTTAATGGAGAAAGACTATTTTGATTACAATCTCCATGTTTTTTTTTTTTTTAATTTAGCCATTTATGTCCATTTATAATCAAGCAGTGCCATTGCAAAAGTGTTGGTTATTTGGGTATTGAAATTTTAACATCAACACTGCTCATGTTCATATCAGTCATAGATCAGACACGGCCATTTATACATTTGCTGGATCAAGATTTATGAACAGGCTTCATTTGTGCTTAAAATGCTACGCAAACTGAACAACAGCCAGTCAAGACGAACGAGCAGATTTAGTGTGTCTAGATCATTTTAATTTGTCTCAGTTTGTGTGTGACGCGTGCCTTTACTATGATTCTAGAGATGAAGTGTTGGCTGGTCCTTATATGGTGTACCAAAAATCACCCCACAGTCCATTGTGTACAACTTTTACCACTGCAATCAGTGTATCAGTTGAGAGCACCCACAACTGCTGGTATAGCAACACCAGAAGAAATCCAGCGCAGACTGAAGGTTGGTTAGTATTAACCATACCAGCACCCTTCTCCTGCCCCAAAATCCATATAAACAGACATACTTGGACTCATCCTCTTGTATGACTTTGCTCTCGTCGTCTGATGGCACCTCATCCCATTCTGAAATACAATCCAGCAACAGGTGTTGATGAGGTTTAAAAAGACATTCGTGTGTTTGTTCTTATTGCTCAGTTTCTGTTGTCTGAATCTGGTTACTTAAGATAAGTTTGACTGTGACTCACGCTCCACAGTGTACCACCACTCCATCAAACTGTCAGTGTCCTGTGACCAAAACAAAAAACAAAACCATGATGGTTCGCACATGAACACCACGCAATTAGAAAAGGGAAACAATGCATACATAAGAAATGCATTGTGATGAAGTGGACTATGTGAGTATATCTGTTGTTGAAAGAAACTAACCCCGTCCTCATCTTCGTCCTCCAAACCAGCCATAGCACGCTCATCCTGCTGAGCAGCCAGCCACTCCGCCTGAATGAGGGGTGAAGGGAAGGGTGGATGTAACAAAAACAAGCTAGTGAATACGTCAATAGGTCTTTCCTACACATTTTTCTATGTTCACACAGATTAGCCATCAAAACATGGCATTACACTTGTTGTGTCGGCTAGTATGTGCTCTATGTTGCTGAACCAGCTCAGTCACATGTCAAAGGAATGTGTCCCATCAGGATACATGGAGATGAAGATAAGTTAGCCAACAGTGGAAAAACAACATCATCGGTGTTTCTCAACCACTAGCTGAAATCAAAAGGTGCACGGTGCAAGGTGTAAATAATGCTACAAAACCTTTTGTGCACAGGACTTGTTCAGACAAAGGAGTTTTCCTATTTAATCCGCGTTAATACTGTACAATTATGATCCAGTAAATAAGCTTCTTATCAACTCAAGTGTACAAGAGTTGTATAGGTATTTACTTGGTTGTCTAGGTGCACATAAACACTTTAGGACACAGTGTTTAGTCACAAAAATGCCACATAAAAGCTCAACATTATCTCAAGACATCCAACATATACACTGTGCTGCAAGGGAAAACAGTAAACCAATAGAGAACAGTATAATGCTGTAAATCTGATCGAAGAAGTGATTTTCCATAAACCTAGTCAGGTCTGACTCGATGGAAAATTTGGAACCAAAACAAAATATGTTATTAGAGTCAGCAGAGTCAAGTTGATCAGCTTCATTTGTGCTGCTACATCACGAGTTACCGTTGCATGATGACTTAAGATAAGGAAGTAAATCTGAACATTGGATAAACAGTGGAAACTGGGTCATTTAAAAACTTGTTTGAGCTAAGGATGAAGAAGTCTGTCTAAAGATTAAAGACGTACCATTTTAATAGTAATCCATGTCTAAAGAATCCAAGTGTGATGCCAAGGTTTGGCTAAGTAGGCCACATGTTAATCACTTAAACATCTTGCAGTATTATCTACCCGTGTGAACTAACCTTAGCAGCCTCTGACAGGAAGTCACTACATGTAGCTCCTGGTGGGTCTTCACACTCTGGATGCATGACTTTGCTCTGTGAAGACAAAGACACAATAAAAAGAAAGCATGTCATTCTCTGGTTTTTAAAGATCTGACCGCACTAACAGCAAAGCAGAAATAGCTTAGACTTCACAGACTAACCTTAAACTTGTATTTTTTGAAGCCCTTGAGTTTCGATGTCTTTTTCTGTATTAAAAAAAAAAAAGAAAAGAAAAAAGGAAAACAGTTTTGATAGTCACACTATTAAATAACCCAAAGGGAAGCAGCAAATGTGAACATCAGGATGACAGAAATACCGGTTTGCAGGTTTCCAGTTCATCTTGTTCACTGTCATAGATGTCTTCTGGACTCAAGAAATCTTTTCCTGTAATTTCGTCCTCAGCAAAGGCGTCCTGCAGAAGATATATAACAGAAATTAAGCAAAAATGAAATTGTACAATAATATGCAATGCTTACATTGTGCATTAAACCAATATTAAACATACACCGGATGCCTCGTCAGGCATGTGGTGGTTGAATCCGATCAGTTCACTCTGTCCAATTGGATCGTAGGTTGTCTTAGATTTGCATGGAACAGGATTAGGACCTTTATGTTTGGAATATTTCTAATGAAAGAAACAAATCATGATAATTTAGTATCATTACAAAGTTAAAGTTGTAAAATTGTTGTACCAGTTTTAGTTGAAAAATACCTGTTTGCAGTCCATCATCCAATTTAGTTCTTCATCGTTTAACTCCTCTGCTGAGAAGCTGCTCTTCTTTTTCTGAGGCCTGGTGTGATCTGGCATGTCCTCCTAATTCACAACATTCAGACAAATTAGTTAAAAAAACAAAAAAAAAAAAAAAAAAAAACAACTCAGCAAAAGATTTGACCATTTCCCATTGCATGACAAAAATTTAATTTTTACCTTAGAGCTTCTTCGACCCGTGTGCAGCAATTTCATCTTTGTTGGTTTCTTCTATTGATGAAGAAAAAAAAGCGAAGTGAAATTTAATGACAACATGTGAAATGAAAAACTGAGAACTAATGGAAAAGACAGTTACAGGTTTGCAGTCTTCCATTCCATAAGCATCTTCATCTCCATTTAGTCCAGCAGAAAAATGGTGTGTTTTCTGTAAGTGCTTGTCATCCCAAAAAGCAGCCTGGGCAACATATTTGAAACAACCGTTACTCTAGATAGGCACGTCAGAAACATTAACACCATCATACAAGTGCAGTGAAAACCCTGCTGCATAGACACGTAACAAATCATATAATGGTAAAAAAAAAAAGAAGCAAAGGACCTTGCTAGATGACTGTAGACCGTGGCCTTTCATCTCTTCTGCATCCTCAAAAGCATCATCCTAAGAGTGAAATATTGTAACTTACATGTAGAAAAAGTAGTTGTTTCAGAATGATATAAGCCAGTATCAGCAAATTGAAAAAACATAAGTAAACCCTGCCATGTCCTAAATCAGACCAGTCATATTAAATAAGGGAATTAATTAGTCATTATCTTACATGTTAAGTGTAGTTTGTTTCCGTTTAAATGTTACCTGAGACGTTTTACGAGGCGTGTAGCCATGTGCACCGTAAACTTCGTCATATGATTTATCCTGAGGGAGAAAAAAAAAAACAAAAACATTCCAAACACGTTACACTGCTCAGTCATCCTCATACCACAAATACGATGTACGAGCGAAGCTGCACAAACCCCACTATATTCATATGTACAGTCATACCTTTGAGCCTTTACGAGGTGTGTATCCGTGCGCTCCCTTGGGTTCATCATCAGCCTGGAGAGAGGAGGTTTTTAAAGCCATACACAGACATGACACTTTTCATCTGTGGAATATGACGTTGAAACAGTTCATACCTTTTTTACAGTGATGGCAAATCCTCTGTGTGGCACAAACTGGATTTTCACCCTGCTTTTTCTCCTCTGAGAAGAGACAAAAGATCCGATTACCCAAATAAATGGATGCCAGAATAATGATATAGTACTCCCTTCAAAAAAAAATAATGTCTCTAAATGTCACTCCAGACTCTCCGTCCAAACATTTTGAGAGCATTCAAAATAAGCAGCTCCATTCTACAACTTCTTTAGGCTGAACTGTCGTGAATTTTGCCATTCTGTAAATCATGACTACACCTCAGGCTGTTGACTTGGTCATTTAACAAAAGCATCAAAATGACTGTTTAACCTCTTCATGATGGGCTACCCCTCCATCCTTCTCTTCACCGGCGCTGTCATCCAGCACTGTCCCCTGTTTAAAAAGACACTGCATTAAAAACTATTACATATTTTCACATTTGTCTTAGAAGGAAGCAAAAGAAAATAAATGATAAAGACTGTAAAAAGTATAGAAATAACATATTACTGCTTTTAAAGCGTTGACATTAGGATGTGAATTCATGTTCTTTCTGCAGTTTTCCCAGTAGTTAGAAAAGTAAAAACAAGAGCATTCTTGAGAGGATTTGAGCTGCTAATGCTCAAGATAATCTTTGGAACTTGAAATGAGGGTTCAAAGAGAAAACTCTCTTCTCATCCTCTTCAAGATCCAATTAGTTTGATAACATTTGGCAGACTTTACCTCTGACCATCGCCGTATGACGGAGTTTTTCTTGCCATTGCTTTTCTTATCGATCTCATCATCCTATTGTGGAATTACAGAGGAGTTAGTCACATGTATGACACGGTGTAGCTTCGATGAAACTATTAAGCAAGACTTTTAGGAGAACCTATATCTCCTTCCATGAAGCCACATACTTGTGATAACTTACCTTTGATTCATTCGTGTGCTTTCCCTCTGGCACAGAGGAATTAGTGGATGCTCTTCTAAGCAGCCGTTTCACTTTGGTCTTCAGAGGTTTCTTCTGGTGACAAAAGAGAATAATGAAACCACCACAGGTTTACTAATCCTGTTCATAAATACAATTACAAGACTGGTTACAAAAACAACAACAACAAAAAAAAAAAAAATCATACTTTGTAGTCCATCTCATTCTGCTCTCCATCTTCATTCTCTCCTGCAGCTATGTGCAACTCTGAAAAATACTCCTGAAAAACAGAAGAGCACTTTTAAACTGAGTAGTGGTATGTTCAGATATAATACAACAATATTTTTTGTCTTGATTTATCTGAGCAGATTTTATTTCTTGATTAAGTGTTTAATTGGCTTTACAGTATAACAAGCAGCAGGTGATTCTTTCTTTAAACTGATGGCAGCGCCAGTTTTTTGTCTGCTTTTGAAATGTGGAGTCAAAACAATTCAAGAAGATACAGCCATGAATTTGAGTTTATCGTTTCTCACCCAAGATGAATCATTTTTTTTAAAACAAGTTTAAGTTGCATTTATTTGTTTGTATCTTATAGACTGTATTTGCACATCATCAGCATTGAATCAGAACTCACCATTCAATATATCACCTCAGCCCCTCAGATGCACTTTACAGTTCTAATACTGTAATGTTTTATATTCTAATCACAGATATGTGTAGGGACATGTTAAGACACAATGATTGTTACCTGTGATGATTTACGAGGGATAGGTAGTGTACCGCTTTTCCCCTCCTTCGTGTCATCAGGAAACTTATCCTACAAAATAAAAACCATTACCATCGTATTGACAAATGTATTGACACAGAATCAAAGCAGAGAAGCTGTTATTATATTTTATATTATTTATTTTATTAATGTTTTGTTTACCTTTGAGCCTCTTCTGGAGAGTAGGGTCATTCTGAATTTCTTGTCTTTTTTCTGTAATAAATTTTTGCACAAAATGTTTAAGTATTTTCTGGAAAAATATATTAATGGCAACCACAGAATGTCGAATAGTAACTGATGTTATGTCAGATTGTACCTTGCTATGACTTCCAGAGGGATCCTGATCCTCACCACTTCCTCCATCGGAGTCTGTCTTGGCCTAAGAGAAATTTTTCTTTGTTGTTTCTTTTTTCTACTTAAAAATGAACAATGTTAGAAGAACAAACAACTAGAAAATTGAACTGTCTCTTACCTTCAGTGACTCTCGCCGTAGTCTAAATTTTCCAGACTAGAAAAAAACAAACATCATTCATCAGCTGAAATGTCTGACTTTTGTATAGAGAACATTGCTAAGAGTTCAAGACAGCATGCCAACCTATTAGTGAGCAAATGCATGAAATGTTTGTTTAAAATGTTTTCTTACTGGTCTGAAGTCAGGGTTAAGCTGAGGACTGTCCTCAGGCCAGTCTTCCACACACCTTTCCTGTTTTGGGATTTTAATAATAAAAAGCTTTATACAGACAGTTGAACTTCATCGGGTGGTGCGTTTCCTTCTGCATCACCCTCAAGCCAAACTTTACATCTGTAGCTCCAATAGTAAGAATCTGATGGCAAAACTGCCCTTATGTTATTATTATGTTTGTCATTGGTTGTTCTACATTTATTCATTTTCATTATTTATTATGCAAATCCCTTTCTTCCGTTATCAACACAGACCTGTCCAATGAGCAGGACGTCCTCATAGACAACATAGTTCTCAGGGTCCACTGGTTTACTTTCCTGTAAAAACAGACACACTTAAAGCATGCACACCGAAAATGATCTCCTATCCGCAGTGTGTGTTGATAGCTACACACACTTTCCACACATGACCATTTAAATCATTTCTAATTAGATAGTTAGAGTCATATCCTTGAACATACTGTTGCACATAGTAATTAGGTCAAATTTAAACAGCATACATACTGGGGTATTTGGTTTGCGGTGAATAACTGGTTTCGGGAGCGATCTGAAACTTGGTTTAGGAGACGTTTTTGGTACATTTGATTCAGGTTCAATCTAAACACAACCCAAAAGAGATAAAGACTGAGTTAAGAGAAATGAGTTTAACAAAAGCAGGTAATTAAGATTATGTGTTTTTCATACAGGTTTTGCAGGTGTGGGTGGCTTTTCTGGTTTCAGTGGCTTTTCTGTCCTGGGTGGTCTAGTTCGTGGAAGTGGCTTTGGTGGACGTTTGAAGGTCGGCACCTGCAAGTTTGATAATGAAATGAAGGTAAGTGCATGTTGGATAAATCAAATGTCTTGAAATAATTTGTCGTTCAGATGCAACTTGCGGTACATTGGAGCCCTCAAGGACACTTTAAAGTACAATGTATTAGTATTTAACATTGATTTTATGGCTGTCTACATATGGAATGGTACATGTTACGTACATGAGTCATTTCAGCTGGAGACTGGCTGGGTGACACAGACAGATTGACGGCCTGACTGAATGGAGTTGGTTGAAGAATATCATGCTTGGTGCCCCGTGGAGTTGTCAACACAATATCATGTAGCCTGTTGAAAGACTTTGGTTTGACAGCTGGAAGAGATTCTAATGGCTTTGCTTCGGAGAGATCTCGCGACAATAGCATGTCCATCTTCAGTTCTGGTGAACCGTTGAGGGAAGGCATGGAGTATGTAGGCTTAGATTCAGTATTGCTGGGGGTTATCTCAAACATATCCCTGCTGTTAGTCTTTGAGAGAAGTGGTTGGAAGATGTCTGGAGTCCCGTTTGAAACATCTTGGAAAGGGTCGTATAATTTTGAAGGAGTAGTACCAAACGGGTCTTCCAAACTGGAGATGTCTTGGAATAAATCCCTTGTAATTGGGCTTGGGAATGGGTCGACTGAACTTGTGGATGAAGATGAAAATATATCTCGACTTTCCTGAGAGGACATGCCAAAAAAGTCATTCTCCTTTGTAGAGGGATCTTGTTTGATTTTCTTGACATGGAAGAGATCCCCACTTTTAGTTGGAACAGCTTGAAACAAATCGGCTTCATTGGTGGAAGAAGTATAAAATGGTTTCACCACCATTGGCTGTGAAGACCAAAACAGATCATCTGCCTTGTTTGAAGGAGATTTGAATGCGTCCTCAAAACTGCTGGGAGATTTGTCAAAGAGGTTCACTTCCTTAGCATCAGCTGTGTGGAGTAAATCCTTTCCTTTAGCAGCCTGGAGAGGATCTTGCACTTCACCTTTAAAGAGGTCAGAGTTTTTCGACTGCAAGTGGATGTTGGAGAGGTTCTGTGTTTGAGGGGGATTTGCTTTAAATAAGTCTCGTGAGTTCAGGGTTTCGTCATGAAAATGACCATTGACAGATGTATTTTGGGTCAATGTCGATGTATGGAAGAGGTCTTGCATTTGGTTGTGGGTAAGGGTCTGGAATAGGTCCTTCTGAGGTTTAGAAAACTTGTCTCCATTTTCAAGAGTCTTAATTTTGGGCTGAAGATCCAGAGGCGAGCTTTGAAATTCAGTTGGAGGGGCAAAAATGGTATTGAGGTCTGCTTCCTCTGAAGTTTCCATCCCTATGGCCCCCATGATGTGACGTTTGCCACTCAATTCCTAATGAAAGAACACAAGGTCATCAGGGACGGGCTGAAAAAGTTCTCAAGGTATTGTTGTGATCTCGTTTTAGAAACAGAAATCCCTACCAGATCATGCGCATAAAAGGGGTTCATTCTGGCCAAATTGCCATTCACTCCATTCTGATAAAGACAAGGAAAGGAAACAGAAAAGGAAGAGGTGGTAGATTTCATTTAGACTGTCGCTCAAACTCAGTTAAGTGGGCATTTAAAAAACATGTGGGGGGTTAAATGGAGCGGAGCCTGCTCTCCATTCTGAAAGATTCAGACAGTGACACGACAGAAATTTTACACGATGAATGATTTTGGAGAAGTGGTATTTTAAGGAAGTTGAAATGTAGCTTTTGGCTCAAGGTCTAATACACAAAAATGTAGTATTTCTACCTCTCAAAAAAATTCATGCATTGTTTTTTCATAACAATATGGTAAAATTGCCAGAGGTTTGAATGTTGCAAAATAGCCTGATTATTTCTTTTTCCACATTTACTTGTCCCTACAGAACACCTACACCTGCATTTATTTGTAGGCCAAAGTTTGAGAGCCGGCACCAACCAAAAACTGTAGAACAAAGGCATTGAGATGGTATCGTGTAAATAAAGTTACCAGTCATTGTGGCTGATGATGCTGTTTTTACTGCCCTTTCACATGCTGATAATATACTGACTTATTAATAGAAAAGTCTAGTCAAGCAATCTGCTTATAGACAGACACACCTACAAAGATTTCACGATAGCATTTTAGTGCGATTGTGTTGTTGATCAAAGAACAAAACAAGAGGAAGGGTGTGGATTTTACCTTTGCTGTAGAACGAAGATGATTATCCTCTGTCTTCAAACCATTCTGAGGACAAGGAAGATTTGTGTTGATTAAAATATGAACCACAGTTTCAACCATAACGTTATGAACACTTAGCTAACACAAAAATTAACCATTTAACGTGGCGACTTTGAGGCACTTCAGCTAAATCTCGGATGTAATTTCTCTTGAGCTGTACCATTATGTCATTCATTTATGCTCTGCAGATGCTGAACCTCACCTGTCCTAAGTATAGCTGCTGGTTCTCTGTCACATCTGTAGCAGCAGCCGAGAGATCACCAAAGAACTCACCATCCTGTGGACCAAAAGTCAGTGTTGTTAAAAACATATTTCTGGAGTGAAGCGTGGGAAGTCACCCATCATGCTTTTCACGCATCGTTAGTTAGTGCGATATGAACGTCATGTGTCACTTGGTAGACATGTAAACTAAAATGTGATAACGCTCCTGACTGCTGAAACCATACTGCAAGCATTTTAAGACTTGCTGTTTGTTCTCCAGCAAGCAAGAATTTATGCATTTGCGGTTACTACTGTGTTCAAACAAAGACAAGATAACTGGGAGTGTCTTAAAAATACACTCGGTAATATGTTGTTGTTATGTTTTTGCTATTAATCAAAGATCCCCAACCTGCACTGCGTGTGTATATGCAGAGCTGAAAGCTGATGTTATCGGTGGTTTCTAACCTGTTTGTTTCGAGACTCGTTCACAGATGATCCACTGGAGTCAGAGGGTGATGAAGCAAGAGTCTGAGGAGGGGACAGATGGAAAAAAAAATTAATGTATGTGGATCTTTTCTCACTTATCATCCTCAAACTTGAAAAGGGTCAAATAAAATTCCATTGCAGTGCAGTATAGTACCTTAGCTTAATGGGTGTGTGTTTGAGATAGGGTGGATATACTGGATGTGACAGTTTCTAATTCCATACCACAAGTGTGTGTGTGTGTGTGTGTGTGTGTGTATGTGTGTGTGTAGCTTCTTACATTGTATTGATTATGGAAAGGGCTTTGTGAAACTTTTTTCAGCATATTTTGTAGTGAAGCAAAACTCTAAAGAAAAGACACAAAGAAAATCATCAACTTCCCCCTTCCCTTCTGTTCAGTGAGCTTACCAGGTTCAAACAAAAAAAACCAAAACATGGCTAAAATAGGCACATCCCCAAAAATGTCAGAGAGGCTCTGCCTGCCTGGATAAGACCCATGTTGGGTCGAAAATACACTATTGTGTATTGTCTTTTATGAAGTTAAATTAGACATAGATGAGTTTAACTATTACACATATCGCCTTATTCTGCAATAAATCACTTTTAAAACTATTGCTTATTTTATTGGTCCCATCAGGTGTGGAACATATCGTTCTGAGACTATGAGACATTTCTCTGGATGCTGTCAGTAATAGTTTTATTCAGCAGGTTAAGGACTCGTATTCAAAATGTATATATGTGGCTTAAACTTCGGAACATTACCAGAGATAGTTTGGTATAGCATCTACAGTAATGTCAGACTGACACATGAACAATGAAAAGGTCTGTTCTCAAGTGTGACTATTTTTGATATAGTAATGATGAAGTCAAACTGCAGTGTGACAATAGCACATTCTTTCTTTTCTGTACTTGTGGAAAAACATCCATCAGTCACAGACATGACAGTGCAAACACATTCAAAACAGCCGACATCATGGTATTCTCAGTTTGGCTGCCCAGTCTGTTTGCCCTGTCAAAATACAGGCCAGACATAGATGCCAATAAACAGTGTGGTAATAAACAGTACAGGGAAATTAACTGTCCTGCATGTCCTGAACTGATTAGATTGTTTACTTGATTGAGGATGACATGTAAAATATGCAGCACATGGAGGAAGAGGGTGGAATTTAGGCTTGGATTGCAGTTTTTGCGGGCATTTGAGAATCAAATACAACTACCATTAAAACTTCAACATCCTCTGTACCACAGACCCGATTTAAACATACTCACAGGTCGTCTTTCACCCGATGCAGTTTCTGTTGCCGCTGTATGCTCCTCGTGATTTCCCCCCTGCATGCCATTCTCCTAATAAACATTTATGTCAGAAAAAAAAAGAAAATAGGAAAACATGTTTCAAACACTTCAAACTATTTCAAAAGTCCTCTTTCTTCTGTGTGAACATAACATTAACATCCAGTCAAGATTGAACTATTCCAAGACTTACTGTAGATGTATCTCCTCTCATGATCAGTGAAGTTGGTTTAATAATTAATCATGAATTTAAAACAGCTGATATCCGGTGAAAGATTACGTTTCTTTTGCATTTAAATGCATCAGTTTGTCCTCGGCATCGACAGGCAATTCTCTCCCGTCCTGACACCTGTGTTAAATCGTCTGTGGTGAATGCCTGAAAATCCGGAATTACAGTTTTCAAAATAAAAGCCCATTTTTGCGCATGCTCTGTTCTATTGGTCTGTGCTTGTCTTAAATGACACTGGTTGTTGTAACCACAACATCAACTTATTCTCAAGGTAGTCAATGTAGAAATTATTTTCTAGCTAAGCCAATTCAATATTAAGCCCACAATTATCTACCAAGTGGTGTTGGAGAGGGTTTTCAGTCACTATTTAACAGCGTGGGGTGCATTTCCTGCCGTTTAACATCAATTCAAAAATCTGAAACTGAGGAGTGGGCTAATAGAGATTTTTTTTTTTTTTTTTAACCATGTTTTAATACTATGCTCAACTATATTTTAAATCATTCTTCCTAATAAGTAGTAAGTAATAATAAGCTTTCAGCTGGTCACCTTTCCCCGACTGCTTTTATACCAATGCAAACCGACCGGTTGTCCTCGCCCTGCTCATGGTGCGTAAACTTGCTTAAACTCAGTGTTGACAGATGAGGAAACATCTGTCATGAACATGAAACCAAACATTACTATTAACTTGTTATTGTCATAATGAATGTGCAACACAGTACATTCATAAATCAGATACAGAATAAACTTTAACTCCAAAGAAAAACAAACAAAAAAAGTCAGAAAAGCAAAATCATGTCTCAACTTAAGAGACCACATCCTCACCAATGTATCCACTTTGTTTCTAATTATGTTTTTCCTTATAGACCTTTGTTGTAATTCTCTCCTCAAAACTCGATAGACATCAAGTCATCAATTATAAAAAATATTCTCATGTCAAGTGTAGATGGAGATCAGCTGGACAGTCAGTGAGAGATACTAAGATGAGTCCTTGAAATGGTAGCTGCAGAGAAACCTGGGTTTATATTAAGCTCTAACCCTGCTATACGTTCTTATACGGTACATTATATGCATACCAGTAGAGTAATGAGGAACCTGTCTTAAGTGTTTTTCACAGCTGCTGACTTTGGTATACAGTAACATGTAGTAACATGCTTCGTCCAGCAGATGGCAGAAGCTCTTTAAAGACTGTAAATCTCTATGAGAATCTTTCTGGATCAGTAACATGTTTGTTGGTTACTTTAATATGTATTTTGTCACAGTTACTGGTCACAGTACCTCATCAAAACTGTAACTGGCAATGTAGTTCAAGGTTCAAACAATATATACTGAATTCTTTGAGATACTTTTACATTTCTTTACCATGTGAAGAATAATGACACTAATAATTTCAAACTGTTCAAAGAACTTTGCCTGAAGCTGCTCAAAAAGAAGATTTTACATTATATTTGATCAATTTGGAATAAAGGAAACCTCTTTAAATAATTCAGAGGAATATTAGAGTGATTTGTTGCACAAATTGTATTTGTGTCTGTATGAAACAAACCTTGACCAAAAATAATTTAAAATAATTTATGTTAATATCAAATCTTTGAGGTTTACACACAGTGTGGGATTATTTAATCAGAAAAACATATTTTAAGCTATGATTCTCACAGCAAACTTTGATACTGTGCCACCAAGAAGTTGTATGCCTGATAAGAAAGTGAAAGAAAAACAACAGTGTAGGGGAATTCTTTCACACGATATTTTCCATATATGGCTGTGGTGTACCCGTCCCACCCCACAAAGACAGAAAGAAGTAAATACAGAAAGGGTGAAGGTAAGTGTTTAAGGCTGGCCCAGCAAACTATTACACAAAGATAGGCTGTTAAGCTTTAATCCTGTGCCCTTTTAGGCTGGTTGTTTTACCTCCAAAACTTGTATCCATATATTATACATACTGTATAAAAGTTAGATATGGCTTAAGGCTTAAGCTACTTACATTTTTATGCACTGATACTCCTCATCAGCAGTGTTTTACCTAAAGAAAAGGAATAAACTTTTTGTTCTAGATAAGTAAATATGTGTGAAAATATGAGTAGCAAGAAGGAACTGAAGGACAAATATTGTTTTGGGGGAAACAATTACTGTGGAGCTGCTCTTGAGCTTAATGTTTGATTGCAATTTGTAGTTACTGTAAGTCAACTGGTTAACAATATTTCGAAAACACATAAATCGAAAGTATGGTCAGAAAAATTCCCCTCAGGGCGGCGCCTGTGCAAGCTTGGCAAAAAAGAAACTGAAACAGAACAAATAAAAGATAGAATCATATGCTCTGGCTGTAGATCATCTCAGGTGTCCTGAAGAGAGAAATCGCCGCGCACCTTTTTCATCTTGTTAACAGGTGAGTATCAGACTACTACCACAATATATTAAATACAGCAGTGACGAAAACAGTTAGGCTACATATTGCAATGACTACTTATAATATCTGTATTTTCATATGTATTTGTTAATAAATCATTGTCAGAGTAATAATACACTACAGTGTAGAGAATTATATATTAAATATATATATATATATATATATATATGTATATATATCCTAATTTTTTCTATTTCTATTTTTGACCAGAGTTTTTTCTTTCTCACAAAATGGATGAATCTGACACAGATCCCACAGTTCATGGACTGTTTGACGGATTCCCAAATTTACTCATTGCTCTGAGTTTCTTGTCTCAAAATGACAATGAAGAGCGTCTCCTCAACAAGCTGAAAGGACTGGTTACAAATATCAAATGGAACCCAACAGATGCTGTTAACTTGTTTGATGCTCTTATGAAACGATTTGAGTCAAATTCAACAAATGACAGATCACATTTCCTCTCATGGATGTTGGAAATGTTGCACTGTATAGAGATTCATTATATCACTCCCAGTTGGAGATGTCAAAGAGGAAAGACACTTATTGAGCTGGTCCAAGACAAGAAAGTAAAAGATGAAGACCTAAAGAAACGCTTAGCTGATGAACAAGAAAAGCAACTGGATGAAATTATTGAGGAAATCCGTCAACAACAGTTAAACCAAATTGATGAAAAGCTTTTAGATGAGGTGAGAGACACTGTATCATCAGTTCATGGAGATCTTACTTCAGGCAATGATGGATCACAGAGGAGTGGCTTGAAGAAAGACTTGCTAAGGCTCTGTCAAGCAGCTGAAAAAACTCACTTTCGACCACGACTGACACAGATTGTGAGCTTGTGTCTTATGGCTCTTTCCAAAACAGGGCGATTAATTCAGGTTGGCACTGGAGAAGGAAAGTCGTGTATTGTGGCGATGTTTGCAGCATTTCGAGCTATGAGAGGAGAAAAAGTAGACATCATGTCCAGCTCGTCAGTTCTGGCACAAAGAGACTTGGAAGAATGGGCAGACTTTTATAAGGTTTTAAAAATCAGTGTAAACTGCAACATCAACAAACAAGACCATGACTTGAAAAAGTGCTATCAGAGTCAAGTTGTTTATGGTACTGTGGAAGAGTTTGCTGGAGACTGGTTAAGGCATCACTTTCATAGGAAGGACATATTTGGGGAAAGGAAATTCCAATGTGCGATTGTGGATGAAGTGGACTCGTTGATGCTGGATAAGGGTCATCATGTTGTCTATATAAGTAGTGATATGCCTGCTTTGCAACATCTCAATCCACTCTTGGCATTCATATGGGCCGCTACTAATCAGTACCGTAAGATTGGCACAGAGAAAACTGTGGGTCGAAAATACCCCTTTCATGAAGTGGTGCTTGAAAACATAACAAAGGGCAAAGATATTGATGAGTTCACCATTCTTCAAATGGCTGAAGACATCGGTATTCTGACAAAAGGTTCAGTCAGGGATCTTAGGAGGAACATGAGCCTTTTACCCGAGAAAACTACAAGTCTTACTGCCAACCAGCTGGCTGAGTTCTTTGAGACAGTAGAGAGGAGATTCCCATCTTGCCAGTTTGCTCTACACTGCATAAATAATGATGGAGCAATAAAGGAACTGAGCAAAGGGCAACAAAGAGAAAATGGGGAAAAGCAAAGAATACCAGTGCTTTTAATCAACGGGGGCTTATGTCAGTACATGTATTGCGATGAAGAGAGTTTACACAGAGCTGCAGAAGAAGAAATAAAACGCGCTCTGCATTTTACACCACGTCAACTGAGCAAAGAAGACAAAAGTGGCTGCTACATCCCGGGCTTCCTCTCAAATCTGGTCGAAGCAAAACTAAAGGTGTGGATTGAAAATGCGTTCTATGCACAAACAATGACAAAAGATCATGAATATATCATGGAGAAACATGGAATAGTCCCCGTAGACTACAGCTGCACAGGTGTTGTTGAAAACTTCATGAAATGGTCAGATGGACTGCAGCAGTTTCTTGAAATGAAACATGAGTCCAAGCTGAGTGACATGACAGCTATCACAAACTATATGTCCAATGTTGGCTTGCTTCAGAAGTATAAAGATCAGATCTATGGAATCTCTGGGACTCTTGGCCAACAAGCAGAGACTGAGACCTTGCAGAAAATCTATGAAGGTATCAAGACCTGTCAGATACCTTCATTCAAACGCAGAAAGCTGTTTGAAGTTGAAGGAGTGATTGTAGATGATGAAAAAGAATGGATTGAAAAAATCTGTAATGTTGTAACGGCACAAACCAAGCCTACTCTATATAGGGAGGGAAGAGCTGTGTTGATCATCTTGAGACCATCAATCGAGCAAAGGTTCTCCACCATGCTCTAGGAGATAAAGTCCCAAACAAAAAGCTTTACATAAACAACAATGTGGACAATACTGCAATCTTTGCCAAGGAGCTTAAAGCAGGAGACGTCATTATAGCAACAAACCTTGCAGGTCGTGGAACAGACCTTAAGGTTTCTAAACATGTGAAGGCAGCTGGAGGTTTGTTCGCTGTGCAGACCTTCCTGCCCAAGAACGCTCGTGTGGAGGCACAGGCATTTGGCCGCACTGCAAGACAAGGATCTCCTGGCTCTGCTCAGCTCATTGTCTGCTCCAACCATCTGTCAGGACCACTTCAGTTGCTGGTATTGACAAAGGAACTACTGTCTTTACTGGAAAATATTACAGATGCCACTCCC